CGTGGGAGGACAAGGTGCTCCGTTCCCGGTGGCGCGCAGCCAGCCTGGGAGCTGGGGGATGTTTTTAGCCGGCTGGGAGCGCTCAGAGGGGTTGAGCCCAACCTTGGGCGGGTTGGTGGAGAGGAGGGGGGCCGGGGACCCCCCTTCCTGCAGCTCTGCTCTGGATTTAGCGCTTGGCAGGCTCCTGGGGCTGGGCGGAGAGGCTGCGCTCTCCTCCAGCTCCCTGGCTGTGCAGATAAGAGCCTGCAGCCCCGACGCTCTCCCACTGCATGAGAGCAGCACGAGATGGGGTCACGCACCCCCTGAGCCCCTGCGCACTCGCTGCGGAGCAGACAAGACACTGAGGTTGGTGCGGAGCCCTGTGCGTGCAAAAAAAAATCAATGGAGAGGGGCCTCGCACACCCAGCTATGGGCGAGGAAGGGTCCTGACCACCCTGAGCAGGCAGCTGGGGAGGAAAGGGATGGGCTGCAGAGAAATTCCGAGGAAAAATCGCTGCCAGGAAGCCAGCCAGCTGCTGCTGAGTGTGCCCCGTGCCTGCCCCGCCAGGCAGAGCCAGCCAGCCCAGCCGCCCGTGGTTCCTGCCCGCGGGTGCAGGCTGGCATCGCCCGGCATCTCCTGCCTCTTTCCTGCCTCTCGAGGCCAGGGTTGTGCCCGCTGCTGCTCGCACCGAAGGGCGATGCCAGCAAGGGATGCAGCCATGCAGGGCCTCGGCCACCGCAGGGTCCTCAGGTTTTGCTCCTGGACACGTCCCAGCCCTTGTTTGCAAGCGCTTGGGGAGCGGTGACCTTCACGGTCGCAGGAAGGGCAGCGGGGAGCCAGGAGGGTTTTCCCCCTGGGGAAAGGGTGGAGTTGTCCTCCCTGCGCTCAGCAAACTTTAACTTTGGGGAGGGGGAAGACCAGCAGCACCCAGACAAAGTTTGTTCTCCAGTTACCGCCTTTACTCCCTTCCCTTGCTCCCTACCTTTGAGAAAAAAAAAATGAAGGGGAGATTTTGGAGGGTTTTGCTTTGATGCTCACCCCAAGGAAAAGCCCCGGCTCTTATCTCCTGGGAGGTCTGGGGGAGCTCCCACCCTGGAGCTGCTGCTCAGAGCCCAGGAGCGTGTCTGCTTGCTTTGCTGCAGGGGGGCCGTGTCCATGACCACCCCCGGGCGCTGCTCAGCGTGAAATAGCCCAGCTGGGCAGCGGGGACGGCGCCTGCTGCAAGCTGGCAACGCCAGGGTTGAACCCGGGTTAAGGGCTGCTGGAGTCACCCCTGAGCGTGGCTCTGCTCCGCTTCGGTGCAGACGGGGAGGGGACAGGAGGTGAAACCCCTGGCGTGGCGAGGAGAGGGGACGTTGGTGGCTCCTGTTGGCACCGCCATCGGGTGAGCCCCAGGTTTGGCACGCGGCGGCGGCGCGTTGGCACGCGTCCACGGGCCGTTGGGGGACCTTGACCGCGGGTGGCAGGGTTTGGGGAGCTGCTGCGAGGACGTGGGGACGTCCCAGGGACAGGCACTGCCCGTGGGCGCTGCAGCGGGCTGGTTTCTCCTCACACCTACAGGATGCCAGCAAGGGGGGCAGCGGCCGCGCCGCTCGGCTCCTCCACGCCTCCGAGGGCGGCTTCGGCACCGGGTGCCCCACACAGGTGCGTGTGGCTGCTTCGGGAGCTGCCATCCCAGCTGCGTTGGCACAGCCTCTGGCAGCGCTGGTGACGTGGTTCCCGGCCCCCTGGCAGGGACAGGGGCCACTTGTGCTGGCCGGGGAGCGGTGGGAGCATCCCCAAGCGCTGAGGCTGGGAACCGGCACTGCTCCAGCTCGCCGCGGGCTGAGGGACGAGGCAGGCTGCGGCTCCAGGTCCTGGTTTTGGGGAGGAGCAGGTGAATGATGCAATGGTGCTGGCGCCGTGCTGAGCGGTGCGTCGGGCTGCGTTGGTGTCCCGAGGTGGTCCCGGGGCCGTGGCGGAGCGGGGACGGGGCGTGATGGAGGCCAGCTGGCTGCCTGCGCTCCGCTTCCTTCTTTGGAGCTTTCTCCGGAGGGGAGGGAAGGCAGCGCTGACATTTCAGTCCATTATCATAACAGCCGCGATGCGTTTGCTTTCCCTTTTCAAAGCGCCGTGCCCAGGAAGAGGGCTGGGCACCCCCAATCCTGCCCCCTGGGCTCCCCCCTTCACCTGCCAGGGGGCTGAGGGCGCCCCAAATCCTGTCTGGGGGTGCCGGAGCCCTGCTTCTGGCACCCTGCAGGGCCCCGTCTCCCCCCCCCGAAGCTGCTGGGTTGTACGGCGCTGGTCGATGCTGGTGCTGATCCTGTTCCCTGGGGTGACCTGGAAAGGGATGGAGGCACAGCAAGAGGGGGGGGGAGCGGGGAGGGTTTGGGGACAGGAGCAGGGGGAAGGGATAAGGATGCAGCCAGGGAATGCAGGGCAGCAGCAGCAGCGCCGGCTCAGCGCCTTCCTCCCCGCGGCACCCTCCCCTCCTCAGGCAGCACCCCCTGCACCGCTCGGTGCCGGAGAGGGGCGAGGGGCTGGGGGGGAGACAGGGACCAGCAGCCCCCACCCCACTTCGCCCTTCTCCTGCACGCTCGCCTCTCCCCGACGCTGCACCTGGGCTGGGGGAGGCGGCGTGTGCAGCGCTGCCCTTCGCCTCTCCTCTGCGTGGGGACGCGAGCGGGAGCTGTTTGTCCCTGTCATCGCCTGCCGGCTGCCTGCCGCGCTCCAGGGCTCGCCAACCCGCGCTGCGCCGGGGCTGCCAGCACCCACCGCAGCAGCCACGAGCCCCAGCGCTGCCGGATGCCACCAGCGCAGGGCTCGGGGGGCTGCCACTGCCAGGAGAGGACATCGAGCCCTGTGGCACGTCGCCGGTGCCCCCCTGCCAGTGTGGCACCCATGGCACGTGCGCCGTAGCCGGGCGGTGGGTGGCACGGGACCCCCCTCGCCCACCACTGCCATGGTGGGAGCCGGCAGCCAGAGCTGAGCCTGCAGGGCCCCGGCACCATGCTGAAGTTTCGGGCGGACAGGAGGGTGAGGTAGGACCCCCCCGGGGGGTTTGGCGTGGTGGTGGTGGTGGCTGGGGGCACCTCGGGCCGGGCAGCGAGTGCTGCATTGCAGTGCTCGGGAGTTTCGGGAGCGGGGTCACAGAGGCAGCTGCTCTGGGCGGGGGGTTAAGGAGCTGCCCCAAAACCCCGAGGGAACAGCGGGTCTGGGGGTGGGAGCAGCATGGGGAGGGGAAAGAGGTGCCTGGGGTGGTGCGAGGAGGAGCCGTGGGGGTGGGAAAGCACCCGGGGGGGCTGCAAAGCCAGGTGGGCACCTCGGGCTGGGGGAGAGCCCAGCTTGCAGGCAGAGAAAGCCACGTTGGTGGGCAGGGCTGGGGACCCGGGGGATGTCCCCAACAGGGGCTTGGCAGCACCGGTGGCTTGGTGCAGCCCCGGCTGTGCAGGGCTGGGGTGTTTGGGGTGCTCCTGGCTCCGTGTCTGCACCCTCCCTGCGTGTCAGCTCCCCGTAACCTGCCCTGTCCCTGCCGTGGTGCTGTGGCTCTCCAAAGTCACCTGTGGGGACAAAGGGACCCGAAGCAGCTCCAGACCCCATGGCAGAGAGCTCCTTTGGTGCCCCCGGAGCAGGGAGCACAAAACGGGGGCGCTGCCACCGCAGCGAACTCGCAGCAGATGCGGTCGCGGCACAGAAAAACCCGGTGCCAGGGGAGCAGCTGCTGCCCCTCGCTGCGGGGTGTGGGCGCCTTGCAAAGGGTTTTCAGGTGACCCCGCTAATGAGGAGAGCAGGCGGAGGGGGGCAGAGAAGGATGCGGGGCCAGGATGGGATCTGCAAGGGGGAGCAGCTCCCCGCAGGGCTGTTTTTGGCAGAAAGCAGTTAATATCGGCTGAGCCTGGCTGGAGCCCAGCTCCAGGGCGATGCGTGCGTGGATGGGATGGGATGGTCTTGGCAGCTGTTTTCTTCCTCAAACTTCCCCTCCTCTGCTGACACTCGGCACTCCAGCAGGGTGCCGGGCTGTTTACATGGTGTGTGGCCAGGGGGTACCCGTGTCCTGGTGCCTGGCACATGCTGGGGGCTGTCACCAAAATGGGGTCCTCAGCGCCCCTTGGTGCAAGTCAAACACCCCAGGGTGGAGCTTTTGTGGCACAGAGCACCCAGCTGGTGAGCATTGCCCCACAGGAGGCAGCATCCTTCCACCGGCCTGGCAGCATTTTGGGGACAGCTGCCTGCAAAACCCCTGCTTGGGGCTCTGCTGAGAGCCCCCCACCTCCACCCATGCCCCCCAGGAGTGCTGCCAGCAGCAGGGCCCGGGGCTTTGTGACCCTGCTCTTAGCCTGACTCCAGATATTTTGGCAAATGGCTCTGAGATCCGCCAGCCGGAGCAGAGGATGTGACGTTGAGGATGTCGCTTTAGGACGGGCCACGGCTGCTGCCTCTGCAGCGATTTGTGCTGACAGCCGGGGGGGTTATGGTAATGTCTCACCACGCGGCAGCCGACGCCGTGTGATGTGTCCAGCAGAAGTAATGAGGTCTCAGCCATCGGAGACCTCATTTCGGCTCTTGGCGAGGCAAAGGCTGTCTGGGAAACGCAGCTGAAATTTGCTGTGCGGATTATGAAGCGCGTGGATGAGCGGAGGGAGCAAGGGAAGCATCCACCCGGCAGCGCTGCAAATCCAGGGGTCGCACAGGGGGCTTTTGGGGATCCCCCTCCACGCTTTTGGGGCACCAGCAAAGTGTGGTGCAAAGAGTACAGGACTGCACGACAAAGCCCTGGTGCTGGAGCAGGAGATGTGGCGCTAAAAACAAAGGGATTTATTTCGGGGGGCGGTGGGGATGGATGGAGCTGTCGCACCCAGGTTCGCACAGGCGGTGTGGAGCTGTGCTCTGCGCCGGGGCTCAGCAGAAGCTCAGCACCTCCCCGGGTTTCTGTGCACCCTCGGACCCCATCCTCCTCCTCCTCCTCAGCTCTTGGGGCAGCAGTGCCATGGGTCTCCCCCCCGTGGCTCTAACCCTGCTCCCCCCTCGCTGTGCCTTGCAGCCACAATGAAAGGCGGAACACGTTCCTGCACCCAGTGACGGGCCAGGTCCCAGAAGAAAACTCAAGACTGGACTTGCAGAAGTAGGTTGGCGCCCACCTCGCCTGGTTTGGGGACTGAGGTGGGCTCGGGGCATGGAGATTTGGGTGCTTGGGGTGGGAGATTTGTGGGGTCTGGCTCCTGGAAGGTGGCCGTGCTGACAGCAGATCTGTGCCAGCAGACCGACCTTGGACATGTCAAGCAAAGCAGGCGGCAAGCGCCCGGCGACCAGCAGCAGCAGCGAGCCCTCCAACCACGCCATGGTGTCGGAGGTGCCCCCGGAGCGCCCCGGAGGCCGGGTGAGTGCCCGGAGCCATGCGGCACGGCGGGCGGTGGTGGAGACGGGGTGCTGGGGGTCCCCCAGGGCGCTGAGTGCCTCCTCTCCCCCTCTGCAGGCATCGCGCCCCTCCCGCAAGGGCATCGCCTTCGGGAAGCGCTCCAACTCCATGAAGAGGAACCCCAACGCTGCCGTGACCAAAAGTGGCTGGCTCTACAAGCAGGTACCCGGCTGCCCCTGATGCTCCATCCCCAGAATGTGCCTCCCCCTCTGCGCCCGGGTGCCGGCCACCCTTGGGTGCACGTCACCCATGGGTGCGCATCTCCCGCGGTCTCACCGCTCCTCTCTCGCAGGCCAGCTCGGGGGTGAAGCAGTGGAACAAGCGCTGGTTCGTGCTGGTGGATCGCTGCCTTTTCTACTACAAAGGTACGTTTTTGGGGGCTGCTCGCTTCTGGGGGTGCTTGCCACGCTGGGGTTAACGCCTCCCTGGCAGCTTGCTGCGCTCACCCTGGCAGCCGAGGGCGAGCATGAATTATTGAGCAGGCTGTTGTGCGAGCCGAGCAGTGTTTGCTGGCAAAGCAACAGGAAGGCAGAGCTTTCCTACAGGTGGGCTGCCCGCCCGAGCAGCCCCGTGCCTGCACGGGCAGGATCGATGGGGCCGCGTCCCCAAAACGAAGCTGGAGGGTCTCACCGTGCGCCTAACCCCCCTGGTTTCCCACCAGATGAGAAGGAGGAGAGCATCCTGGGCAGCATCCCCCTCCTCAGCTTCCGCGTGGCGGCCGTGCAGCCCTCCGACAACATCAGCAGGAAGCACACCTTTAAGGTCAGTGCCCGAGCGCGGGGTCTGGGGGGACCCCCAGGACGGTGCCGGGGCAGCGGCGATGCTTGCAGGGTCACCGCTGCGCCCTCCCCTTGCTTCCTTGGTGCTGGTGCGTGGAGCAGAGCCAAACCGCAGAGAGGGGGGACTGCAGTAACCCCCCCCAACATCTCCCATGCCTCCTGATGGGGAAACTGAGGCACGCAGGGGGTGAAGCAGCATCAGCCGCCATCCCTAGCCCAGGGAGGCTGGGTGCTTGGCTTAGTGCTTGCTGGCTGTGCCAAAACCAAGCAGGTTCCTTCCTGCTCCTGAGCGTGGCAGGAGCTACACGACCCGCTCCTCTCCGTGTCCTCGGTGCTCGTGTCCCCGTGGGAACCCACGGATAAATAGAAATAGGGACTCAAACCGCCCGGTGCTGCGCTAGGATGAGGCAGCACCGCAGCCCTCATCTGCGTGCATGGGCTTCCAGCCACAGCACCCAGGGGTTCCCTCCGTGCCACTGCTCCAGCACCTTGGGTACCACTTTGGGTACCCCTTGGAAGAGGGGACGGGGTCCCAGAGGGCCCCGAAGCCAGGCGAGGGCTGCGCCCACGGTCCCCCCGCTGCGGTTTGACCCCTTGTCTGTGTTTCCTCCTCTCTCCGCGGGCGAGGATCCCCCCGGCCAGGAGGTCTCCGCACGCCCTTCGGCCACGCCAGCACCCCGCCACCAGCTAGGTAGTATCTGCTTGTGTTTCTGATGCATGCAGAGGGCGAGGGGTGACCCGCATGCTTCACTCACCCCGCTCCCACTAATCCGGGGTAGGAATTGGTGCGGTTTTGTGTTTTATCTCTCGCTCTGGCTGCAGAGCTTTCGAGGTAGGAGGCTGCAGGGTCTGGAGGAGCCAGGCAGGAGGCGTCCCTGCCCCCTGCAGCTGGGGAAAATGGAAACCCAAGGGAGGGTTTTAACCAACCCCCCTCCCCCCCTTTTTATTTTTTTTAAATTTTAAATGATTTGACCCCCAAAAGTTTTCCAGGGGAAAAAACTATCTTTTTTTTATTATTATTATTTTATTTTTTTATTTTCTTCCTCCTTGCTACCTCCCGTCCCTTCCCAGAGAGAGGGAAGGTGGCTGCTTCAGAAAGGCCCTCAGCAGCCAAACCTGCCCTCCAGCTGCTGTAGCATGGGGCGGAGGGTGGGCACGGACATCCTGGACCAAAAGCAAACCTTTTTTTCCCCCCAAAAAAAGTGTTCTCTGGGCCAAGAAGCCACCTTCCCTTAGCCCTGCATGACCGATAACGCTCTGGCCAGCGCTGCTGCTCTCGATGGGATGTGCCCCCCCCCGGCTGCCTCTGGGCACCCCAGGGCACCCCCAAAATGCTGGGGCGCAGCTCCTGGGGGAAGGAAGGGCTGGTCCCCAGCATCACGGAGGGCGAGGGCATGGCTGCGAGCCCAGGGGACGAGGGATCCTGGATCTGCCCGCAGAGCCTTCGTCCCGCCCGGTGCTGCTGAGGATGCTCCTGGGGACCGAGGAGGCTTCTCCCGTGGCACCAGGACCTCGTGCCGGGGTGGAGATGGAGCTCTCACTCTCCTGTCTGTCTCTCTCCCCACTTCTGTGCCCCCCTGCAGGTGACTGTGTGCTGGGTGGAGGAGGTGCCGGCGAGTAACGGGCAGTCCCTGTCTCCCCAGGCCGAGCACGCCGGCATCCGGACCTATTTCTTCAGCGCCGAGAACACGGAGGAGCAGGAATCCTGGATCCAAGCCATGGGCGAAGCCGCCCGGGTGCAGATCCCCCCCACCCAGAGGTCAGAGCACTGCACGGGTCTGGGGGCACCCCTCGGCCTCTTGGAGGGGTGGAGGGGGCCGTGCGCCACGGCTGGGACCTCTTGGAGCACGGGGGCCCTGCGCAGAATGGAGCTGGGGGAGCATCAGCCCCTCGAGGCTGAGGGAGGGATGGGGGACTGCTGGCACTCCGGGGGTGTTGCAGGGGGAGGGTAATGCTCTCTCGTGTCTCCACGGCCTCCAGACACGAGAAGACAGACTCGGAAAACATCCCTCCCAGCAAGCACCACCACCACCGCAACGCCGTGCACCGCGAGCACCCCAAGGCCGACCCCGACGCCAAGACCCGGGGTGAAGGCGACGGCCGGGGCTCCGAGAAGATGGAGAGGAAACCGGAGAGGATGGAGAGCAAGAAGGAACCTTTAGCCAAAGCCAACGGCATCGCGGGGCAGGAGATGCCCTCGGAGCCCGGCAGCCCTTACCCCGAGGGACCCCGGGTGCCACCGAGCACGGAGAGGCCGACGCAGCCCAACGGGTGGCCCTACTCTTCCCCCAGCCGCCCCGGCAGCACCGCCTACCCCCCACCCGACGGGGAGAGCGCTGCCCACCGCCGCAGCTTTGCCCCCCGCACCAACCCCGAGAAGATCGCCCAGCGCAAGAGCTCCATGACGCAGCTGCAGCAGTGGGTGAACCTGCGCCGGGGCAACGTGCCCCCCGAGGAGCTGCGGAGGTGAGGGCTGCGAGGGGGGGGACCCTCCTCCTTTTCTTTTGGGTGATGTTCTGGGAATGTTTTCCCTCTCCCCACCTGCTTTATCCCCTCCTGGGGTCAGCAAATCTGCTGCATGCTGTGTGGAGGACACCCCCAAAAGCCAAGCAGAGCGAATTTTGGAGGGGGACCACAGGAGCACAGACACCACCTTTCCCAACGCTGGTGCCGCAGCTGCGTGCTACGAGGATTTCCTTGCCACTGGGACCATCCCCCTCTCATTTTTTTCTCACTTCCCTCCCAGCCCCACCAGGTTTTACCCCGTTTCTCGCCGGGTACCCGACTACTACTCGCCCTACTCGCCCCAGTACCCCGAGGACTACCAGTACTACCCGCCCGGCGTGCGCCCTGACAGCATCTGCTCCATGCCCGCCTACGAGCGCGTGAGCCCGCCCTGGGCGCTGGAGGACAAGCGCCCCTCCTTCCGCAACGGGGGCCCCTACCAGCTCCGGGAGTGGAAGGAGCACCCCGCTTTTGGCCGCCAGGACGTCCCGCTTTGGCTCGCCGGCCCCGGCAGGCAGCCGACTTATTTCGACGAGGTGGACGCCGCCTCGGGGTCCCTGCGGCGCATGTCACTGCAGCCCCGCTCCCGCTCCGTGCCGCGCTCGCCCAGCCAGGGCTCCTACACCCGGGCTCGCGTCTACTCCCCCGTCCGCTCGCCCAGCGCCCGCTTCGAGCGGCTGCCACCCCGGGGAGAGGAAATTTACGCCGACCCCGCCGCCTTCATGATGAGGAGGTCCATCAGTTCGCCCAAGGTAAGCGTCCGTCGCTGCTGGGGCGTGCGAGGATGGAGGGGACCAAAGTTGGGGACGTCAGGGTGGGGATGCTGCAGCACAGCCTGCGCCTTTTGGGCACTCATCCTGGCCTCAGGATGCCACCGAGTCCTTGGTGCGCAGGAGCTGGTTGGCTTTAGGTCCTTCCTTCCAGCCCTGCCAGGAGGGAACAAGCACAATTTGGGTGTCCTGCGCTGCTGGGAGGCTGGAGAGATGGGGCAGGAGGGGAGCTCATGGGGCCCCCATGAGCAAGGCGATCCCAAGCAGAGTGCTCTGCTGTCCCTATATTTTTGCTGCACCCCTCAAAACCCTGCTGCAGGGCTGGGGGTCTGCACCGGGTGGGCGAGATGTGTCCTGAGCCCCTGTAGTCGCTCTGAGCAAAAAAGAGGGGATGGGGGAGGCATCGCGTGCCCCTCACCGGTCCCTGGGGTTTATTGGGGTCTCCTCTCTCCCCAGTACGACTACCTGGGCGACAGGCGGCCCGTCCCCGCGGGGATGTTCCCGTACCACTACCCAGCATCTCCCACGGTCCACGACAAAATGGTTCGTACGCTGCTGGCACCGACGGGTGGGCTCGGGGGGGCTGCAAGGACAGGGGGGTCACAGCTCGGGGCACCCTGCTTTGGATGGGTGAGGAGGAGGCGCCTGCTCCAGGAGCAGCTCTGTGGGTTGGAGAGGGGCTGCGCTGGGTAGGGCAGGACTGCTGGGTGTCTCCAGTCCCTCCTAGCCCCCCTTGGACCCCCCCCATACATCCCGCAATGCCCAGCTTGTCACCACTGGGGCTGTTCCCCTGGGGATGGGGTGAGGCCGGCGCGCTCCCTGCACCTCTCCCCTCCTCGCTTCCTCACTTTTTGGCTACCGCTGCTGCTTGGCCCTCAACTGCATTTTTTCCCCCTGGAGCATGGAGCTGGGGTGGGGGGCGACCAGCAGGTGTCCCCCCCTGTGTGCAGCCCAATCCCGCAGGGCAGGAGCAGCCACTGCAGGAGGGAGAAGCTTAAATTGTCATGAGCTATCCATGCTGCCATCCATCCTCACCAGCGGAGCCCCAAGGACAGGGACCTGCTGCTTCCAGCCGGGAGGAGAGCGGGGTCTGGGCTCCTGCAGCACGTCCCCGGCCACCCTCCCCGTTTGGGGCAGAGGAGGTGGCCCCTCGCTTCCCCAGCCCAGAGGTTCTTGGCATTTCTGCAGCCTTCACCTAACCGCTTTGCTTCTTCTTTTATGTGTTTTGTGTGTTCGTTTCTTGCCGCATGCCTGCTGGCTCCCGGTAGGATGAACTTTTAGACCTGCAGTTGCAAAGAAACCTAGAGTATTTGGACCAGCAGGTAGGCAGAGCTGGCTGCGAGCCTCACGCTGCTTCTGTCCCCATGTGCCCTGTCCCCAGCGGCGTCCCCTTCCTTCCCAGCACCGCATCTCTTCCCCTAACATCCATCCTCACCCCTCTTGGCATTAAAGCAGCACGCGTTGTCTTTGCTTTGCTTCCTCCATCCTTCCCCTCTGTAGGGTCTCTCGTTGCTTGGCAGAGAACCCCCCCCCGACAGTGCCTTCTGTGGGGTGTGCTGGAGCCGGCGGGGTGGTGCGGGATGTCCCCGCGCCCCGCGGTGCCTCCGGCATCGGTGTGAGCCCAGCTGCTGCCAAAATGATCAACCAGGGCACCCAGCAAGGGGCTGCGAGCCCCTGCAGGTGGCTGGGTTGGGGCATGGAGGTGCTTGGTGCTCGCCCAGGACCCCCGCAGGAGGGTGAGCAAGGCGTGCAGCCAGGCGAGGTGGCGTTGGTGACGCTCTCGCCCTGCGCCTCCTCGGAGGCGAGAGGTTTGATGCAGGGCTGGGGGCAGGAGCCTGCTGGGACTGGCACCGAAGCAGCAGCTCCCGGGATTTTGCATGCCAAGGGGGGGGTTTGGAGAGAAGCCACGAGCTGACTTCATCCTGGGGACAGGGGGAGGGAAAGCCTGGGAGGCAGCTGCGGGAGCAGGGGGGTGAAAAGCGCGGGCACGGCTGAAATCAGAGAGGGGGACGGGAGCCATCGGCCGCTGCTGCCGCCCGGCGCTTGCTTGCACTGAGGGAGCTGCTCCAGAGACAATCTCATTAGTCTGCAAATCCCCATCGGTGCAGTAATCACCAAGATCTGTGTCTGCCTTGGAGCAGAGCCAAGGACAAGCAGGAGCGCTCGGTGCACTGAAAGCTCTCTGGATTATTTCACAGCCATCGGCAGCAACGCTCGGTCTCCGAGGCGCTTCAAAATGCTCCCTAAAAAGGCTTTCCATCTCCTCCTCCTCTCCTGCTGACCTCTGGAGAGACTAATTCAGAGGGATGTTGTCGAGTAGCTCTTTTAAAACAGTTTGCTACTTCATTTTTGCTCTCCTCGCTTGTCTGGAGAGCTGCACTGGCTGCAGTCAGGGGCTGGCTGCGCCCCGCCTCGCTGACCGGCCCCAAACTGGGGGCTGGTCCTGGATCCGTGCTTCAGCTGCCCTCACCCCTTGGTCCTCAGGGGTTGTGGCTGTGAGGGCATCGTCTGCCTCTCATCTTCGGGCACCTGCAGTGTTTCTGCGTGCTGCTGTCCCCGCAGGAGGCTCTGCTGCTTGAAGCCACGGGGCTGGAGCGGGGGACCCTGCTGTCCCCACGAGGCTGCGGTCCCCTCCGTACCCAGAGCGTGTCTGTGCTCACGGGCAGGACGTGGAGCTGTCTGTCGTTGGGCCCCTCTGTCTGTCTGTCTGAGGCCACCCTGTGCGTCGCGGCCGTGGGTGTCTCTGTGCAAGCCTGTGTCTGTGCGTGCAGTTGGCTGCAGCCCAGCTCGGAGCTGGCTCGCGTGGATCTGTTTCCCTCTCCCCCCAACAAAGTTTTCAGCCCTCGGGATGCTCTTGACTGCCCCAGACAGGGCAGCAGCAGCCTGGGGCAGCAATTTCCTCGTGGCTCAAGCACCTGGGACATCTCTCGGAGGTGGCACCTTGCAGCACGATGCCCCGACGGGTCCTGGACAGAGCTGCACCGACGGCACCCGAGCGCACGGGCGTCTCCGCTGACCTCTGAAATTTCCTTCCCTGTCTGTCGCAGATGAGCGAGAGCGAAACCCTGATCAGTATGGTGAACAGGATGGTGGAGACCTCCTCCCCTAGGGCTCAGCTCTACATGCAAGTAAGCCTTTGGCCACTGGGCTGGCCCGGCCGCTCGTGCATGGCAGGCCACCTCCGCCGCCCCACGCACCATCCCCGAGGTCACCTCCTGCCATCTCCGCTCATGCAAGCTCCAGCATCCATGCGGCGCCGGCACATCACGCTCTGGGGGCCCTGCTAGTCCATCCCAGGCTTTGCTAATCCATCCATGAGCCATTGCAACGCCGTCAATCCTTGTCCCGAGAGCACGAGGTGGGGACTCTGCGGTCCCCAGCCCTCGCCCTCGTTCAGGCGCTTTGCTCGCCGTCGTGTTGAAGAGGCAAGGAGAAGGCGGATCCGGAGGAATCCAGCCCAAGGATCTTAAACCAAAGCAATGCCTCCGGTGTTGAGGAGAGGAAGCAGCCTGCTACCCCACGAGGCTGTGGCACGCTTCTCTCCTCTTGCCTGCTGGCACTCGGTGCCACGAGCAGGGCAGGATCGGGCCAGACCCGGGCAGGCATCTCTTGGATGTGTGACCGGGCAATCCCTGGTGTTTCTTGGGGAAGGGAAGGTGCCTGTTCCCATCCCTGGGCCAGGGGAGCAGGGATGCGCTGCAGGGTGAAGGCAGAGCAGCTGCGATGCTTTTGTTGGCCGGGCTCCCTGCTCGGAGGCAGCAGGAGCCACATCTGCCAGACTGTGCCGCGAGCTGAGCCGGGCATTTCCCAGGTCCGGGTCTATTTGCATTGTCCTGTGGTTTTAAATCACTCTAAAGTAGCGTCTTGCTTTCTAGCAATAATGATCCCCTTCTTCCTATCTTATGCCTTTCATCTCGAGATCTTGGAGGCATTTAATTGGTGAGGTCCCATTAGTAATTTAGATTTCCAGGAAAGGAAAATGACTCACAGAGAAGCTGGATGGTAAACAGGTCCTGATGTGACGGCTGATTTATGGGTGCTTCTACTCCACTAAGTGGGATTACAGCTTAATCTTCCTGCCTTTGTTTCCCTGCCTGTGAAACGGTGGCAGCTGGATGCCAGGCAGTTAATGATTCACCAGACATCTCTCCAGCCCAGCTCTCGGTGTCTGGTGGAGAGCTGGTCTCCGGTTAACTCCTGCTGCTCGCCGGGCCGATGGGCACCGGGGCTGGGAATGGGGATGAGGCTGAGCCTTCCCCCACCCCGTGCTGCCTCTGGGGACCTGGTCCTCGTTTCTCCTTCTCAGGGACCTGGAGAGGGGCTGCTGGCCGGCTGCAGCCTCTCCTCCCCGAGGGGCTCCTGGCAGCACACAGCCCCCGGCGCCAGGCTCACCCCGCGCTCTGCTTGCAGGTGACGCCCTTCCCCGAAGCCTACAGGGAGCCTCTGCACGCCTACAAGATAAGCGAGCAAGACACCGATGTAAGAGCAAATGTCCGTGCTGCGTGTCCTCCCTCTGCCCCTCGCCCTACGTGTCCTGTCCCGTGCAATGAGCCCGGCAGGCTGGAAACCCCCCCTGCGCCCAGACATCGTCCCATTTACCCAACCCCGAGGGCTGTGCCCTGGCTGCATCCCATCTCCCCCATCACTGCTGGGCTCTCACCCTTCCTTCCCTTATTTTCTCTTTCCTGCCCGGGAGCAGAAGCTGCTGGGGAAGCTGTGTGAGCAGAACAAGGTGCTGCGGGAGCAGGAGAGGCTGGTGCAGCAGCTTCGAGCGGAGAAGGTTCGTGGTGCACACAGGCTGGGGACAGCTCAGGGGGCACATTTGTGGGCTGGGGGGGGGGTGGATTTCATGGTCCCAGTGGTCTCCATGCATTAACGGCCCATTAAGGAGCAGGAAATGCTGCTCCTGCCCCATTTGCCCCGGTGAGTGCTCTCATGGCTGCATCGCCTCCTTGTGCCCCCCAGGAGAGCCTGGAGAGTGCCCTGATGGGGACGCACCAGGAGCTGGAGATGTTCGGCAGCCAGCCAGCTTATCCGGAGAAGCTGCTGCACAAGAAGGAATCGCTGCAGAACCAGCTCATCAACATCCGCGTGGAGCTCTCGCAGGCCAGCACGGTACGGGGCTCCCCCTCCACCATGCTCCCCATCCCCATTCCTGCCCCATTCCCCGTCCCCGTCCCCATCCGTCCTTCCCGGAGCAGCTGTCAGAGCTCCGTGCCCATGGCTCCTGCCCAAACCCCTCCAACTCCCCCGCTCCACAGGCTTTGGCCAACAGCACCGCTGAGTACGAGAGCCTGGAGAGCGAGGTGTCCGCCCTGCACGACGACCTCTGGGAGCAGCTGAACCTCGACATCCAGGTGAGCAGGACCCCAGCAGCCCCAGGAGCCCCCCAGCAGCCCCAGCTGGTGCAGGATGAGGTCCCCTGGTTCCTTCAGCCCTCTGATCCCACAAGGAGACGGTCTGCAAGCGGCTGCAGGACGTGGCAGCAGGGATGGGACGTGGCTGGGATGGGACACAGCAGGGCTGGTTATGGGGCTGGCAGCACTGGGAGCCTCTCTGACCGCTGCTTTTCACCCCTGCAGAATGAAATGGTCAACAGGCAGATCCAGAAGGAGATCTGGCGGATCCAGGACGTGATGGAGGGGCTGAGGAAGAACAACCCGTCCCGCGGCACGGACACCGCCAAGCACAGAGGTGAGCAGGCTCGGTCCCTGCCCTGCATGGCACAGCCACCAGCATGCCACAGCTTGGGGCATCCCCCGGGACAGGCACTCACTTGGAGAGGCTGTGCTGTGGTGCACGTGCTTATTTCTGCTTTTTTTTCACTTTCTTTTTTTTTTTTTTTCCCTGCAGTGGCCATCGGCCCCTCGGGCACGTACAGCTCCAACAGCCCTGCCAGCCCCCTGAGCTCGGCCAGCCTCACCAGCCCCCTGAGCCCCTTCTCCCTCGTCTCCGGCTCCCAGGGCTCGCCCACCAAGCCGGGTCCCAGCGAGGTGAGTGAGCCGGGGTGTCCCCAGGGAGCCCCGAGTCCTCACTGGGGCACCGGGTGCGCATGTGGCTCTGCCTGGGGGCACGTCCCTGGGCTGTGGGGTCTCCTGGTGAAGTCTGGGTCCGTGCCCCTCACAGGGGCTGTGTCAGGGCTCGTGCACCGAGCATCCTGATGGCTGGGAATTGCTCAGCTCCAGGGCCAGCTCCTGCTGCCACCGCAGTCTCTGCATCCACTGATCTCAGCTGCAACTGTGGGAAGTTCAGGGTGGAACCTGGGGACTCCCCAAAGCTGCCCTGGCTGTGCCAAGGCTATGCCAACGTCTCCTGATAGCCCTGAGCTCGGGGAGGGTCTCTCCAGCTGCCCCCTGCCCTGCCTGGCCCCGCTGCGCATGGGAGATGGGAAAAGTCCCCCCGTGGATGGGGACACAGAAGTGCAGGACCGAAGGAGCAGCCGCCAGCTGCTCTCCCTCCTCCTTTCCCCGGCCTTCCGCTGTGTTTTGTCTCGTGCTCTCTCTAACTCTCTTTTCCTTCCCGTCTCTCAGTTTCTCTGCTCTCACGCCTAACGCTCCTCTCCACCCCAGGAACCCGGCCCGCCTCGACCTCCCCTCCCCAAGTCGTATGTCCCCCTGGAGCCTCCTCCGACCGTCCCTCCGCTCCCTAGCGAGAGCCGCCCCTGGCCGTACCCCACCTCCCCTTCCTGGCAGCGAGGCGGCGAGGCGCAGAGGGGACAGGTACCAAAACCTCTCCCGAGCAGCCCCGAGAAGAGCAGCCCCTTCCCTCCCTCCCCGACACCTCGGGGACCAGGCAGGGACAGCGTGGAGGTGGCACTCAGCTAGGGGACAGCGGCACGTGGCACCGCTCCGCCTCTCCGAGGGGCGCAGTGGGCACTGACCCCAAGGCAGCTTCACCGGGGCCTCTCCAGGTCCCCACCACCCACCCACAGCACCCGTGTGGATGCTCAGGACTGGGCCAGGCTCCTCTCGGGTAGCTGGAGGTGTAAATCTGCTGCAGCCCCAGCTTCTCTGCTTTCCTCTGCCCTCTCCTCTCTCGCTGTCCTTCTGCGGCACCGCTCCCTGCTGCGCCAGGGGCCGGAGAGCTCGGCCGGCCTGGGGTGACCGCGTGTGCAAACCCAAACCTGGAGGTTCCTGGCACCATCTCAGCCGTGTTCCCACCTGGGAATGGGGCCACGTTTGGAGTCTGGGAGGCAGAAGTGTCCTTGCAACAGGGTGGCCCTGGGAGGGGTCAGGATGCATGCGTGTGGGGCTGTAAAAACAAAAGCTGTGCTGAGCTGGGAATGATGATGGACCCGAGTGTGAGTGTCACCAGAGCGTGCTCAGGGTGCAGGAGGGGAAGGACCACAAAAACAGCCCTCGGCTCGCTCCCTGCTGCTGCCCAGTGCCTGCCCCAGCTCCTGCCCTCATGGGACCCGGTCCCCTCCTGCAGGCAGGGGCAGGAGCTCAGCACGGGGCACCTCCAGCCCGGAGCTCCTGGGTGCCCTCTCCAAGCCGTGTCAGGACCGTCCCCCTGCAGAAAGCTTTTCCAACACGGGGCTGTGTCACCAGGACACTGAGGGGTGCCTGGCCACGAGCTGCAGAGCCCTCCCAGCCCGTGTCCCCGCTGAAGGAGCACGCTTTGGGTGTGCTGGTGGTCTGCTTGGCCAGCATCCGTGTGCCCCAGGAGCATGTCTGGGGCCGTGTGTCCCCCCTGGGGCAGTGTGTGTGTGTGTTCCCAGGCAGAGTGTGGCTGCCCAGCAGGGTCGTGGCTCACCGGGGACCTCTTTTGCCCCCGCAGCCCAAGCCGAGCTTCGAGCAGAGCAAGAAGGAGACGCAGCGAGCGGCTGCCCCCACTGCCCCCGCCGAGGGGCCACCGGGCAGGCAGGAGCAGGAGGCAGAGAAGCAAGCGGCTCTCAACAAAGGTACGGTGCTGGCCCTGCAGGTCCTGCTCCAGCAGGCTCCCCAAGCCTGCCCTGGCCATGGGGAAATCTCTGCACAACGGTCTCCAGCTCTTCCCCAGCACCGCACGTGGCTGGGATCCTGCCCCCCTGTCCCCGGGGATGCTCAGCCTGGTGTTTCTCTGTCCTGCAGTGGGCATCGTGCCCCCCCGAACCAAGTCTCCGCCGGAGGAGGAGGTGGTGCCCGCGGGCAGCATGCTGAGGAGGAGCGCCGGCGGCATGGCCAACGGGCTGGGATCCAAGGCACGGCCCTTGGCGAGGGGCTGGGGGCTGGGTGGGCTGTGCCGGGCTGCCTGTGGGGGCTCTTCTGCAGCCGTGGTGCTGCTCTGCTCCCCGGTGCCATGGGGAGAGGGTTTGGGGAACAGTCGCTGCGTGGTTCTGCACCTCAGCAGCCAGCTGGGAACCTCGGGGGCTCTGCGGGTGCCTCTCCTTGCCCCGGGGGAGGGCAGCCCCTTGCAGAGGGATGCAGCACGGGCGGATGGGGTTGGAGCCCGCTCCGTGCAGGGGTATTTGACCACGGGGCTGGGCTCTCCTCCCCAGGAGAGGCCGAAGAGCGCCGTGTTTGCCAACGAGACGAAGGTGAAGATGAGCGTGGAGGAGCAGATCGACCGCATGAAGCGCCACCAGAGCGGCTCCATGAAGGAGAAGCGGCGCAGCCTGCAGCTGCTGGGCAGCCAGCAGCCCGACACCCCCGGCACGAAGGCACCTGCCTCCTACAAGGTGGTGAGTCCCTGCACCAGCACTTCGCCCCCGGCACAGCGGGGTTTGCCTCGCAGGGGTGCTCTGAGATCCCTGAAGGTGGTGAAGGGGCAAAGGGGACACCGGGGGCCGTGGCAGGAGGCAGTTTGCTGGTCCAGGGGGCTCAGCGGGGCTGGGGTCCCTCGTAGGTGCGCCGGCACCGCAGCATCCACGAGGTGGACATCTCGGACCTGGAGGCAGCGCTGCGCTCCGACGACCCCGGCAAGGTCCACGAGACGCCCCGGGAGGAGATCGCCCGGCTGCGCAAGATGGAGCTGGAGCCGCAGCACTACGACGTGGATATCAACAAGGAGGTGAGGCCGGGAGGGACGAGCACAGGCTTGGGGCATCCCTGCTGCCGGAGGCTCCATCCAACCCCTGCATCGTGCAGGATTCTGGAGCCAAAGAGAGTCCCTGTGCGGGTGATGGGAGCTGGGGGAGGCCGGGGAAGGTGGGTGCTGGCGTGGGGATGGGTCCTGGTGGCCGGTGCTCAGCTCAACCCCTGCTGCTGCCCCCCAGCTATCCACGCCGGACAAAGTCCTCATCCCCGAGCGGTACATCGAGCTGGAGCCCGACACGCCGCTCAGCCCTGAAGAGATGAAGGAGAAGCAGAAGAAGGTGGAAAGGATAAAAACCCTCATTGCCAAGTCCAGGTGAGGCTGCGGCACCCACAACCCGCGTGCGCCCCTTCCCCGGCACCACACTGCACCCCACCACCAAGGGCAGCCCCGGGCACTGAAGTCCCTGCTGTCCCCACAGCCTGCAGAACGTCATCCCCCTGGGCGAGGGGGAGGTGGACACCCCCCAGGACCCCGAAACGCAGCTGCAGGAGCAGGAGAAGAGGATAGAGATCTCGTGCGCGCTGGCTGCTGAGGCGTCCCGCCGGGGCCGCATGCTCTCGGGTAAGGCACGGGGGGGACACGGAGGGTCCTGGACGCCTGGCCAGCACCTTGCAGCCCTGCAGGAGAGAGCCTGAGGGTGCTGAACACGCAGGAGGAGTGGCCGCAGGGTGGATCAGGCAGGTTGGGTGTCCAGCTCGTGGCCTGGCCAGGCAGCAGAGCATGGTGCAGGGAACCACCGCGCAGCAGGCGATGCCAGCTCGGCAAGCCAGGCGATGCCAGCGGCCGCCAGGGTGATGCCAGCGGTGTCTGGGGCCACCTTCCCCTGCAGCAGCACTGAGCAGCGTGCGATGGATCAGTCCATGTCAAAACCAATCTTCCTGCCCCGCGTCCAAGGAAAGAAACTCAGCTCAGAGAGCGCTCGGGGGCCGGGAAGCACTGGCGACGCACCGCAGTGCCTGAGCGAGCGTGGTGCCTTGTCCATGAGGAGCCCTGCGGGGAGCTCACGTGTGCCGGGCGCCGCTGTGGCTGTTTGTCCTGACCACGCTTGCTTCCTCCCTTCCTTCCTCTTCGTTTCCTCCCCTCCGCTAACCTGCCTGCTGGGAGCCTCCTGTCGCTGTGCCGCCTCTCCCCTCCCGCCGCCGCCAGCTTGTGTTCTTCACGCCCTTCTCCCATTTCTTGTTTCCAGCTCAATGCGCTACCCCAAGCCCTCCCACCTCCCCAGCCTCCCCGACTCCACCGACCAACCCCCTCTCGTCTGAACCATCCCGGGTCGCCGACAGCAGCCATTTTATGCGTGTCTGAGCCATGAAGTAAGCACCTTTTCTCTTGTACTTCATCCCATCCTCTCCAGCCGGGGACGGGCGGGGGGCGCCTCTTCCCCCGGCCTCCTTTCCCACCCGGCGGTCGCCCATCGCTGCTTGCTCCAGCTAACATCTCCTGAGCCACGTCAGCCCCAACTCCTCCTATGGAACAAGTGCAAGTGCCCTGCGTGGTGAAGCCCCCTGTGTGGGCCAGCCACGGACCCCAGGCTGGGCACGAGGGATGAGCCGGCTGCTGGCCCTGGGAGGTGCTGGGTACGGGGTCGAGACCTCGCAGGGCTTTCCTCTGAGCTGCTCGAGGGTCTCTGGGGAGCTCGTGGCTCATCCCCACTCTCCTTTCCCTCCAGCTCAAGCCCTGGCCGCTGCCAGCGCCGTCAAGTTCCACGGGGCCACGTTTTAGCGCGCCAACATGCGCCCCGACTCGACACCGAACCTCTCCTCGGCCATCGTTTTTGGTTCTCCTGGACCCCTCCCTCCTTCCCACCAACGGCGAGACCCCCCCGGGATGGATGAGCGGGGAGATGTGGCACGGATGGCACCCGCTGCTCTGCCCCGTCCTGGAGGAGACGTGCGGGTGCTGGGAGTTGCTCTGCTGGAGCGTGGTCCCCAAGGACGGGGGGTCCCGAGCTGCCCGCCGGCACAGGGATGGATCTGTGGTGGCCTCGGTGCCAGGCTGGCTGGGACAGCCGTACAGGGGGGCATTTGCAGCAGTGGTCTTGGCACAGCCAGCCCTCCCCTTGCTGGGGCAGCCCTGGAGGAGCGCAGCACCCTCCACCTCTCCGTGCGGATGTGTTGGCATCCCAAAAGTCTGCAGCGGGGCTCCTCCAGCTGGAGCTCAACCATCCCACCACAGGTGGTGCTCTCACCGCGCTCTGGAGGCTCCATCTCTGCTCTTTGGCTGCTCGCTGCCTTCCCTGTGCCCTCAAACTGCTTTTAGCATCTGTCTGGCTGGAGGGAGTCACCAGCAGAGCCTGGCAGCTCCATCACGCCTCGTGCCCGGGGCTAAGCAGAAGGAAGGAGGAGCTGTGCGGGGTCAGATGGAGAGGGGACAGGGGGGACACGGGGAGCTGGGACAGTGCGAGGGCTGCCCGGTGCGGTGCTGGCACGGAGCAGCAGGTCTGGGAAGGGACAGGGATGTTGGAAAGGAGCAGAGGAGCGGCACGAAGCCAGGGCTCGCTGGGCCGAGCAGGGATCTGTGCGGGTGGCTGGGGACGGTGCCAAGAAGGGGACTGGGTTCGGGCCACGAGCAGCAGTGGGGTTTGGCCTCAGTGCGCTCCTACAAACAGCGATGCTTTGCCTGTGGTCACCCCCAGCACCCATGGGTGCCCGAGGCTGGGGGGACACGTGGGGAGCATCTCGGGGCTGCAAAGAGCCGGGACCCCCTTGGGCATCCCCTCTGTGCAAGCCGGGCTGCTGGAGGAGGGGGCTCCTTGCCCCACAGCCCCGGGCTGGGTCAATGAGCACCGGGGGGTGACAGATTTGGGGGACAGGACTGGGGGGACCCCAGCTGTGCTCGCATCCTCCGGTGCCAGCACGGGCTGGGACCCTCTGAAAACCTGACAGCGCACCCCACCCCGAGACCTTGCCATTGCACTCCAACCCCCGTGGCTTGTTCATTTATTTTTTCTGTAGCGGGTTTACCCTTTTCTTTAGCTTTTCAGAGGGAGGACCAACAGCTGCTCCTGCCGGGAAGCAGCATCAGGCTGCGCAGGGCTGGGTGGGGGGGAGGCGCACGGGGTGAGGATCCCGATGCTGACCATCCCCTCGCTTTTTCCCCACTGGCCGGATCCCAAATCCCTGGCCAGCCCCCTGCCCTGTACCCGCGTGCTGCCACCAGGCCACCCCTCTGCGCCCCCATCGCTCCCCCAATCGTAGCAATACTCCTCGGATCCCAGGAACCCCAAGTCCCGCTCCGCTCCCGAGCCTCCTGCTGCCCTCTTAGCTCATAAAGCTGGCCCTTTATTTTGCTATTACATGCCTTAATATATGTTTTATGGAAATTCTACATTTATAATATATATATATATATTTGTTTTTCTCTTCTTTTCTGGGAGGTACTGTTTTGTGCTAATCTCTCTCTCCGCAGGGTTGTTGGCACCAGCCCTGCCAATGCATTACAAAAGCAGATTCTTTGCCAATTTATCAGAAAAAAAAAAAAAGAAGAAAAAGAAAGAAAAAAAATATTTAAAATATATATATATTTTCTGCTTTTATTAAAAGCAAATTTATTTAAAATAAAAATATAAAGAGACTGTAAGTTTGAAGAGATGACGCCTTTATTTCCCTGTCCCTGGGCGCAGCGGCGTGCCAGCCGGGCCGGGCTCCCCAGCTGGTGTAAATGGGGGTGCTGGGGGGGGCGCAGACCCCTTTACACCGGCTGTGCACACCCGCCAAGGGGGGGGCGCGCAGACCTGTAGCTGGCAAATTGCCCCCGACTCCGGTGGCCGGAGGAGGTGGGCACGACTGCAGCGTTGTGGAACCGGGTTGTCGTTTTGTTTTGTTCTGTTTTTTAGGGAAAAATGAAGAAAAAAAAATACATTTTAATTCTTAATTTTATTTTGGTTATTATTTTTCATAACACTTCATATAGCAGTGACTTGTAAGCGAGAAGGAATTCGCATCGGGAGGAAATCTATTTATGCACTGGGTGGGGGGGGGGGGGGAGGGTGGGAAAGGGGATAGTTGTTTTCTGGATTTTTTTGCTAGTGTTAGAGAAATAAAAGTATCTACAAAATAACACGATGCCAGTGTCTTTTGTATGGGATTGACCTCAGCTAATGATTTTAATGCTGGACTGAACAGTGGGCAGACCCCTGTAGGGTCTCACCGTGCACAAAGGACCTTGCCCGGAGCTCGGGGGCTGGCGCCACGTTCTCCTCCCTCTCCCTGTTTTATGGGGTTCATTCCCCTTTAGGATTTATTTTCGATGCAGCTACTCAACAGAATGGGAAAAAAAAAAAAGAGAGCGTTGTGCCTGGCAAATTCGTATAAACCCAAGGAATAAATGGGTTTGGAAAGGGAGCCGCTCCCGGCGTCCCCGCCGGTGGAGCTGTGGGGCCGTTAATGATTTGCAGGATGACGTGGGGACCGAAGGCCTTTCCAAGGGTCACTGCCGGGGAGTGCGTGGAAGGGTGGCCGCCCTCGCCGGCCTCCCCCGGCCCCCCCCGGCAGCGAGATGGTGACTCTCAACGATTTCCAGCGTAAGCGGGCAGCCGGTGGCCGCGGGGATGCTCGGCGGGGTGTGGGATGCGCCCCGGGGACGTGCCGGGGCTGGAGGCTTGGGGACATCGGGGCAGGGAGAGGGGACGATGGTGCGAAGCCCTTCGTGGTGCGGGGGGCACGGGGGGGAGCCTGGCTGGGATGTGGGTGCTGCACCCCGCTGGGTGCCGGCGGTGCAGGGGGGGCTTTGTAGGGGGTGCAGAGCTATGGGGCCAGCCCTGCCCTCGCTCTCTGCCCCTGTTTTGCATGAGGAGAGGCGAGCGGGAGCAGGGAGGTGCTGGTTCCTCGCTGCCTGCCCCAGCATCTCCAGCCTCTCCCGGTGCCTGCTGCACCGGCAGCTCAGGCAAATGATCTTTCCCTTCGTTTTTTGTTTTGTTTTGTTTTTTTCCTTGTGGTTTAGTCTGTATTCGGCAGCCCGGAGGGGTTTTAGGGAACCCAGCAGCCTGCCCAAAGCTTTTCGGCAGGTGGAAAGGCTTTGGAGAGAAACGGAAAGGATGTTTCTGGGAGGGAACGGGATGGGGAGGCCCCCAGAACAGCAACCACAGCCCGAGGGGAGAGCTTTGTGCCCGAATCCTCGTCTCAGCCTGTCCTCCACAGGGATCGGCCTGGGGCTGGTCGGCTTCGGCGCCTTCTTCATCCTCTTTGGGATGCTCCTGTACTTCGACTCGGTGCTCCTGGCTTTTGGGAACGTGAGTACACCCCGCTGGGGAGGCCCGGAGCCAAACGCCCATCTGAGCAGGGCTCATCTCACCCATCCCGCTTTCCTCCTCCCAGATCCTCTTCCTCTCCGGCTTGGTCTTCATCATCGGCTTCAGGCGGACCTTCACCTTCTTCTTCCAGAGGCAAAAGCTGAAGGGCACCAGCTTCTTCCTGGGGGGGGTCCTCATCGTCCTCATGCGCTGGCCGATCCTGGGCATGCTGCTGGAGGCTTACGGCTTCGTCAGCCTCTTCAGGTCTGTCCTGGGGCACCCGGCTGCCACGGCACGGGGTGGGGGCAGCGCCAAATCCACGCCACCAGCATCTGCCAGGGGATGAAGCACCCCGCAGCTTGCTGGCCGTGGCCCCGTCAGCCCCCCCAGCCCTCCTAATGGAGCCTTTCCTTTCGGTGCAGGAGTTTTTTCCCGGTGGCTTTCGGGTTTTTGGGCTCGCTGGGAAACATCCCCATCCTGAGCAAGGTGAGCAGGGCGCCGGGCAGGGATTTCCCCCGTGGATGTGGTGCTTGGGGTCTGCACTCCGCGGGTGATGCAAATCGCTGGCACCGCTGAGTTAAATCATCGTGGACGCACCGGGGAAAGTCACCACGGCCTCCCCGCGGCTCCTGGAGGATGCCTTGAAATATCTGACCACTAATCCATCTCCGTCCCTCTTGCAGCTCTTGCAGAAGCTGGGAGAAAGCAGCTCCATGGTGTGACCGCGGGATGGGTCCAGCCGTGGGAGCTGCTGCCCCGGGGCTCGGAGCTGGCCCCGCTGCAGGGACGGTGCCTCGCGGGCTGCACCAGGCAGGCTTGGTAGCTATTATTTTATTTTATTTTGTCGTCTTCCCCTGACGAGACTTGGATTTAATTAAAAAACGTGTCTGAGACCGAACCCAGCCTGTGCGCCTTTCCTGGGGCTCGGAGCCTGCTCCAGCTCTGGCTCCTCTGAGTGCCACCCCAAAGCATCACGGCCTGGTGGAGGTGGCACCGGGACCTTGCCATGGCCACGGCTCGTGGTGGCACGGGGACCTTGCAGGGCCGTGGGCTGCGGCGAGCGGAGCCCAGGGAGCAGCAGGAGAGGGCAGGGGAGGTTAGCAAAACACCCATTAAACCCCATTAACATTTCATGACCCCATCGGGGGAGAGTAAATTACCCCCCTTTCAAATCCAGTGACCATGAAAAAGCGAATGACATCCGAGGTTATTAATTAATTGAGAGATGCTGGGGCGGGAGGGGGGCTGAAGCACTTGTAGGGAAGCACGCAGACATGGAGCTGCTATCTCGGAGCGCTATCAGCCCGGGTTTGCGTTTCCCACAGCCCCATTTCCCATGGGATGCACCCGGGCTGGGCGCACTGGTGGCAGCTTGGGGGGGGGCTGCTGGTGGAGCTGGGGTGGCTGTGAGCAGGGGATGGGACGGGCCATTTGGGATGGCTGCTGAGGGCAGGCAGGTGAGTTTGAAGGATTTATTTTTCCTGGGATGCGGGGAATCCTCTCTCCAGGAGCAGCTCTGCCAGCTCCATAACCCGGCAGGGCTGCAACCCGAGGCACGAGCTCCGTGGATGCGAGCCAGGTCCCTGCGAGCACTCGGGGAGCCGGGTGCAAGTCAGGAGTTTAATTAAACCGGGGCAATCACATCAAAGCGGGTCCCTGTGCAGATCCCCTTCTTAAATTGCCAGAATTAATTAACGAGGTTGCGCCCAACCTGTTCCCTCCTGATTGAAGCGCAGCCCAGGCGAGGCGGTGGCTGTGCCCGGCGGCACTCGGCAGGCGCTGCAGTTGCTTTGCAGCGGGTGAAAGCGGGGCTGGGAACGGCTCTGGGAGCACAGCTGATTTGGGGTATCTCGTTTGGGCACCCCCAGCCCAGCCCCAGCACCCAGCTGAGCCCTGGGTTGCAGGGGACGAGCTCTCCGGTGGGAATAAAGCAGGGCTGCCCTGGGGGGAGCTGTGTTTGGGGAAAGCTGCCTCTTGCTGCTGGTTTAGAGGGGGCACCTTCAGTCTGGGTGCAGGTTGTTAGGTTTTTTCCCATCCTGAAAGCCTCTGCTGGGGTTTCCTGGGGTGAGTTTGGCTGTGGGTAGGAGGAAGATGGGAGTGGGAGAGGCATTAGGGGTCACATTTGGTGATAAAGGAGCAGGGCTTGGGGCACACCAGGAGCTGGGATGAGCTCAGATATCCCAGGCTTGGCTATCACACAGGTGGCTGAGGGCTGCAGCCTCCTTGGAGCACATCTGTGATGCCTGTCTTTGCTTCATCCCAGCTGAAAGCCTACATTTGGGCTGCAGAACATCTTCTCCCAGCCAGGCTGCATCCGCAGGGAGCCACCGAGACAGAGGCACGGTGCTGGAGACCTCACGTGCACCGTAACAACACTCTCTGAATTTAACCTCCCCATCCCTGGGGCAGCCCTGAGATGCCTCGGGGGCAGAGCAGGCGCTGCCCTCCTGGGCCTGCATCAGAGCCTCCTCTCAGGGCCGTGTTTTCCCTCTGCTTCAGCCAAATGCTGCCTCCCTGGGTCCTGCTGGAGCGGGTTGGGTTTTAGGAAAACGCTTTGGGTGAAGCCCTGGCTCTGCTGACGTCAGTGGCTGAATTCCCCCTGGTGCTGGTGCCACTCATTTTCCTCTCCATCCTTCCCCAAAGTTGCTTTTATGCTTGAGCTTTCAGTCCTTTGGAGCAAGGATCCTCCTGAGCCTTGTGTGGTTTTTGTTTTCTTTTCCCCCAGCACCAAACTCAGGCTAGAGAGGCGCGTAAAATGCGTGGGAAGCACAGAAATGCATCCACCTTTTGTATTGTTTTAAAGATCCCTCAAGAAAAAGAAAGATATTTTGTAAAATCTCCCAATGATGTTGCTTAGAGAGGGATGGTTACAAGCATGAAGTTCAAGCTTTATTCTGAAGGAGTGCCCTCGTTCAGATCAGCCTGGCCTTGGAGAGGAGCACGGTTTCCTCTCAGGAAAGCGTCGTTGCCCTTTGGAAAGCGTTTTCCTTGATTCTGCTCTTAGCTCAATCACTTGGCTCCTTGAAAGCAGGCAGGAAATAACTTGGAGAGCATTCCCCTGTTATTTCCAGACGAGCTGCCCCTTGTCGGATGTGGAAGTGCACGAAAGCCTCTGAAGGAACCTTGCAGCAGGCTCCCGGCGGCAGCGCACAAATCAGCCGGGGAGGAAATTGCAGCCTTGCTCGATTGCCTCTTATCTCAACCCGTTGCAAATCCAGGCTAAGAGGCGCTTTGGTGAGCAGAACTCCCCGGGGCTGCGTGGGAAGGGCTCAGCACCCTCCCCACGGGTCTTCATCTCCCTTAGGGCAGGGGATAAAATCCGGGAGGTGTGGAGGCAGCTGCTGTCCCCGTGGCTGTCCATCCCAGTGCTGCTTCCCCCTGCCCTGCTCCCAAAAACCCCGCACACAACCGCACCCCTGGCTGGTGAGCTGGAGCCCCGTGGCTGCTCTTTCCATCGCCCGTGTGCCAGCTGCTCGTCCTGCTGCTGGTGGAGGGGGCTGGAAAATGCCCTGAGGGGATTTTCCTCGCACGGAGGAAGGAGCCGTGCACCAAGGGGGCATCTTCTGGCACTGCCAGCCCAGCCCTGCAAGGCAAAAAAAAAAAACTGTCCTTTTGCAGCTCCCCTGCCACAGGTTTTGGTAAGTTGTTTCTGCCTGGTTCAGCCTTGGATTTCCTCCCTGGGGACCAGCACCAGGCAGTGCCTGGCCCCGTACCCGCATCCCGTTGCCTTTCCCAGCTGCTTTGTGCTCCGGTGGCCCCAGGGGAATGAGTCCGAATGAGTCCCCCCCTGTCCCTCCTGCGGGAAAGCCAAGCCTGGAGCTGTCCCCTGTGGCTTCAGCATCCTCGGGGTCCTGTGGCCGTGCTCTCCCCTGGTCAAAGCAGAGCTGGAAACGCCGAGCCCCACGGCCCCGTGCCCTGGGATCACCTTCCCCGGGCTGACACCGTCCCTTTTGATGTCACGCTGCAACCCCAACCCCTCCTTTGGGGACCTGGGCTCTGCGAAGCTCACGAGCCCTCGGGATGCCCAGGAAGGGGATTTATGCCTGGTGGCTCCTCGCCAGGGGCCAGGCTGCTGCCTCCTGACCCCTCTGCCCGCTGCAGCCCGCGGCGGGGGCACGAGGCCGCCCCCAGTGACGCAGCGCCGGGGCCCTGCGTGGGAAAAGACGTCAGGGCCGGGGGCAGCACGGCCGGCGGGGGCTGAACCTCGGTGCCCGCTGGGTTCAGCCTTCCCCAGCTCCAAAATGCTGCGGCCAAAATCCCCAAGGGACTTATTTTTTTATTTTTTTTTTTTGGTGAGGGGGAGGAGGCTGGAGCCCTGGTTATGGAAACGAGGTGTCTGTAGGTTGTGGGGTGTCCTCCTCACCACCCCCCAAGCACCCGTTTCCTCTGGGCAAGGATGCCAGCTGGTTTGGGGGCAGCTCAGCTTGCCACCTGTGCATCCCCTTTGGTCGTTTCCCTTCCAAAATGTAGGGCTGGGGACAGCAAATTGGCCCCCCCCAGAAGTGCTGAGCTCCTCCACACCCTGCTCGTGGGGGCAGAGAGGGGGCAGCTCCTCCTGCCCAGCTGCAGGTGCCCGTACCTCGATTAACTCCAAGTTCAGCTCCTCTCTGCCCCCAGGGCCTCTTCCCTTGCTGGGGGGGCTTCTCCCCCTTCGCTGTGCTCAGAGCAGCCCCATAAGGGCAGCAGGGGCTGGTGGGCTTGCACCCAGTGTCCATATGGCCCAGGGGCTGTGTTTTCTGCTCCTACCCCTGGCCTTTTGGGAAAACCTCACTCCTCTGCTCTCCTCTGCCCTGCTCGGCTCGGGGCAGGCTAGAGCCGAGCCACCCCCGTGTCCCCATCACCGATGTCTTTGCTGAGGGACACCCACAGGCACTTGGTCCGTGCCCTGCAGGTGCTGTGCCAGCGATGGGTTGGTGCTGGCACCGAGCAGGGCTACGGAGAGCGTGGGTTTGGGGCTCACGACCCTTTGCCAGCCCCTGGGATCCAGGAGCTCCATGGGACCCACCGCGGGCACCCCCCAGCCACCTGCAGCGTGCTGCCTGCAGCATCCCCAGCCCTCCCTCGGCCAGCGGGGAGGAGAAACCCACGGGGAGGCAGAAACCCAGGCTATAAAAGCGTCCTCCCCTCTGGGCCACGAGGAAGCTGCTGGCAGAGGAGGAGGCTGCCCTGGGAGAGCGCGATGCTGGCCGGCCACAGCAGGAGGCTGCTGCGGTACCTGCTGCTCCTGGCCCTGACCTGGGGTGCCAGCTTCTTCCACTCGCCGGCCCAGGCTTTGCAGAGGTACCAGCCACGTGTGAGGACCGTGACGTGCTGGCTCTTGCTGTCTCCCCTCGTTTCTCAGCGCTCAGGATGGTGCCGAGGACCCCGGAGCTCTCCTCCTGCGGCACCCGCTGCAGCTCCGCTCCCCCGGACCCTCTTGGAAACACCTCTCCTCCTCTTTTCCTCCTCTGCACCAGCACAGCTCACCTTCCTCGCTTCTCTTCCCCCTCTCCCTCTGAGCACTGCGGGGTTTGACAGCAGCTCTGCCTCCCAAATAACCCACGAGGCCAAGGCGACGCGTTTCGGTGCAGAGCCACCGAGCCCCAACGCAGCCTGTGGCCACCCTGCGCCACCACAGCCCGGTGCCGGGGGGGGGGTTCCTCCTGCAGCAGCCACCCCCGGGGTCCCCCCTCTTTATCCCTGCACCCCGAGTGCCACATCCCTGCGGATAGGGGTGGAAAGGGACCAAGGGGGGGTGCCTGGCTGCGGCCCCAGAGCGCAGGGAGCTGCTGCCACCTAGAGCCACCCGCTTGGATCTCCCAGCGCAGGGTAGCAGGGAGCTGGTGGGGGGGCTCTGGTGGGTGCCCCCCATGCCCCCCAGCCCTCTCGTGTGCCCTCAGGATCGCGCTGCGGAGGATGCCGTCCATCCGGCAGACGCTGCAGGAGATGGGGGTGAAGGTGGCGGACGTCTTCCCCGAGCTGCGGCAGGGCAGGCGCAGCGGGGTGGCCGGCCCCCGAAACGGGACGGCTCCCACCCTCCTCACCAACTACCTGGATGTGAGGCCCTCCCTAAATAGGGGTTTATTGCCCCCCACCCCATATCCCTCTCCTCTCCTCTCCCACCAGCTCCAGCACCGAAATCTGGAGCGCCAGCCGTGCACCCCATGCTAACACCCCCCCGTGCTCTGCTTCTTCCAGACCCAGTATTTTGGCGAGATCAGCATCGGGACCCCCGCGCAAACCTTCAAGGTGGTCTTCGACACGGGCTCGGCCAACCTGTGGGTGCCATCCTGCAAGTGCTCCCCCCTCTACAGTGCCTGCGGTGAGTGGTTGGGGTGGGGGGGCACAGACGGACCCCGGGGCTGACCCCCTCCAGCCCCAGCTGCACCCCATGGATGTGGGGAAATCCCTTCCCCTCCAGGGGTGCTCACAGCCCTTTGCGCAGCGGGGTCTGCTCGCCGCTGTGGGGTCTCCTGGTGCTGGGGCAGGCTGGGTTCATCCTCCTGCAGAAGCTGGGGGAGCAGGGGCCGCCAGCCGGTCCCGCTGTCCCCTCCCTCACCCTCTTTGATGCCCTTGTGCCCCTCCCCAGTTTCCCACAGCCGCTACGACTCCTCCAAGTCGCGGACGTACATCGCCAACGGCACCGGCTTCGCCATCCGCTACGGCACGGGGAGCGTCAAAGGCTTCCTCAGCCAGGACGTGGTGATGGTGAGCCCTGAATTTCGGAGCACCTGGATCTGCCAGGGGGCTCCGCTCCCCGATAGGAGCCCAGCTGGGTACCCAAAAAACGGGGGCTCTGTTGGGTTTTGGCCCCCCCCCAGCTCCCTGCAAAGACCCTCGCGCCCTTCCCCAGGTGTCGGACATCCCCATCATCCAGGTGTTCGCCGAGGCCACGGCGCTGCCCGCCTTCCCCTTCATCTTTGCCAGGTTTGACGGGGTCCTGGGCATGGGATACCCCAGCCAGGCCATCGACGGCATCACCCCTGTCTTCGACCGCATCCTCTCCCAGCAGATCCTCCAGGAGGACGTCTTCTCCGTCTACTACAGCCGGTGGGTCCCGCAGGGCTTTGGGGGCGCCTGGTTTTGCAAAGTGTGGGTGTTATAGTCCTGTCGGTGCTGGGGTCACGTCTTAGGGCTGAGAAGGAGGCTCAGGGGGGACTGTGGGACCTAGGCACGGGGAGGGTGCCCACAGGAGCTGGGGTGGAACCAGGTGGCCCAGGAGGCAGAGCTGGGGGGGTGCTCCCCGCTCCTGTGGCACCGTCAGGGTGCAAAATCTCCGGCTCTGCTCGTGGGGCTGGAACCATCAAAGCAGGGGGTGGATGCAGGGCTTCGCCTAAAGGCAAAATTTAAAAAAAAATAAAAAATAAAATAAAAAAGGAAGAAGAAAAACCTGCATCAGCAAACCTTCCTGCTCCATTTCGTGCCCCAAGCTGTCGTGCCCTCCCCCCAGCAGCCCTAAATCCCCCAGGGGCAGAGGAAGGGCCCTTTCCTGGCAGACCACGATCGCTGCCCCCTCCCCGCACTGCCCATCGATCGGGGCCACAGCCGCCTAATGATGTGCCACAGCAACCAGCCCCACAAATGCGTGCTTAAAGCACAAATTGTGGCTTTTTACCTCAACTAGAGGTGGATTCGCCCCTAACAAACAACCCCTTGGGATGCTAGCTGCGTTCTCAGCCTCACCCTGGTGCTGCTTGGGTGCCCCCAGCCCCCCGGGACACCACCACCCGCAGAGCACAACCCGACAGAGCCCTCTCCTTTTTGCAGAGCTTCGAAGTAAGAAGACCAGCAGGAGCTCTCGAGGCAGCACCCGCTAACAGGCACCGCGCACCCGGGGGGCAGCAGCCCCCAAAGCTGCTCCACCTGCCCCCAGCTGCTCGGGGACCCGCGTGCCGCAGCTCTCCATCCTCTTGCCTTGCACCCTCTGGACTAACCCGGGATTTCTCCCGCTCTGCTCACCGGGCTGGCAGCCCCGCATGCTGTTGCCCCCTGCCCTTGGGTTTTCAGGGACCCCGAGTGATATGGGGGTAGGGGGAGTCACCCCGCTGTGTTTTTGCGCCCTAGGAATGCTCCCCTGAAACCCGGCGGGGAAATCATCCTGGGAGGCAGCGACCCAGCCTACTACACCGGCGATTTCCACTACCTGAGCGTCAGCAAGAGCGGCTACTGGCAGATCAGCATGAAGGGGTGAGGACAGGGGGCACCGGGTAAATCCTACAAACCCCAGGCTTGCGAGGGTTGGCCTGGGAGAAGCAGGCTGGGGGTGGCAGGGAGATTTTTTCCCCCCCCACCCCTGGAAAAGGGAGGCAGCGGGGTGGGCTCCTCTGGCACGGAGCCGCGGGGCGATGAGCATCACGGTGCTGGGGAATGCGGAGGGGGAGGCAGCACCGTGGGCTGATTCAGCTCTGAAGCTGCGGTGGAGGAATTTAACCCCCTTCAGCCTGCAGCGGCAGCGCTGGAACAAGCCTGCTTTGTTTGGTTTTAAAAATAATAATTAAAAAAAAAAAAAAAAAAGAAGTGAAAAAGGCACATGCTGAAGCTTAGCTTGTGTGTCTGAGAAGCTTGAAGGTGCCCCCGGAGGGTTGATGTGCTGGAGGCACCGGGAACAGCACGAGCTCTGCTCAGCCGGTGTTTCTGGCCATGGAAGCCCTCGGGGCTGAGCTGTGGCCACCACGGGAGGCTCAGGGTCGCCCCTCTGCCTCCTGCTGCAGGGTGTCCGTAGGGGCTGAGGTGTTATTCTGCAAGGAAGGCTGCTCGGTGGCCATCGACACCGGAGCATCCTACATCACCGGCCCGGCCGGCCCCGTGTCCGTGCTGATGAAAGCCATCGGGGCGGCAGAAATGGCTGAAGGAGAGGTGAGCGAAGCCCTGCTCCGTGTCCCTGCCCCGCTCCCCAGCCCAGCCCGGGGCTCAGCACCGTCTCCTCCTCCTCCTCCTGCAGTACGTGGTTGACTGTGACCGGGTCCCCCAGCTGCCCAACATCTCCTTCCACCTGGGCGGCAAGGCGTACGCGCTCGGCGGCTCAGCCTACGTCCTGCGGGTGAGCTGCATCCCTCCGTGGGGGTGGGAGGGCAGGGATGGGGTCGTCACGGGGAGAGGGACACAGCTCGTGTGCCTCCGGGAGCATCCAGTGCCGTGCTGCACCCTCCCGGCTCTCCCCAGCCAGCCCCAGAGGGATGCTCCCTGTTTTTCCCCAAACGCTCACGTTCAGCAGTGTCCAGACCAACCTGTTGCTGCTTCCTCGGGGGGTGACTGGGGGAGATTTGGGGTGAAGAGCAAGGAGTAGAGACAGGCAGGGATATCCCTTCGTGGAGGAAGGGGATTGAAGGCCAAGAGCAGGGTGTGTGGGGCTGGGGATGGCACGCTGAGCTAGGAATCCCCCTCCCGGCACCTCTGTCACGGGCTCTGCTCCTCCCTGCAGCAATCCCAGTATGGGGAGGACGTCTGCGTGGTGGCTTTCTCGGGGCTGGACATCCCCCCGCCTGCTGGCCCCCTCTGGATCCTTGGTGCCAGCTTCATCGGGCACTACTACACCAAATTCGACCGGCGCAACAACCGCATCGGCTTCGCCACGGCTCGCTGAGCGCCGGGACCCCGGGGGGGAGTTTTGGGGAGCCAGCTGGGAGGCAGGAGCAGCACCCGAGAGAAGCAAATGGGAATGCAAACGGGAATGGCGTTTCCTTAAAGCACAGCCACCTCCTCTCTGTACTGAAGCAACTGCACAGCCTCGTGTTCTCCCACTCCAAAACCCCCGCGCTGCTTCCCGAGAGCCTCAGCTGCTGGGGAGACAGGAGCCTGGAGAGCATCCTCCGCCGAGCATCCCCCTCGGGGGTCCCAGGGGAACCTCCAGAGACTTTCAGGGTGTGATGTGCAACAGGGCAGCATGTGGCGGCTCCCTGCTGGCTGGAGCAGAGGTTTTTTGCAGCTTGCAGGTGTTTTGGAGCGGTGGTTTGTTATCGTTCTGGTCGTTCTTTGAATGGGAGAAAAATAATCGGGCTGGTTTCAACGGTGGCTGTTTCGGCTGGTGTTGTACCCGACCCCTCTTCGTGTTTTAATATTAAACAATCTGAGAGCAACAGGAAGCTGAGTGGGCGCTCATTCCTGCAGAAGGGAGAAATCAGACAAAAAAAAATAAAAATAAATAAATAATAAAAAAAAAAATAAGGAAACTGGGGAAACAAGTGTTCCTCCCCTGGAATGCAGCACAGCAGCAGCTGCTTTTCTGTCCCTACTCATTTCATGAGAGCGGCACCCCCTGTACCTGCCTGCAGGCCAGCTGGGGTAACACAACCACCAAGCAAGCCTCTCCTGCAGGAGGTGAGCTGCAGCTACCCGTGCCTCGTCCTGCCTTCCCCCAAAAGCTGGTGGCACCCTGGGGACAGGGGGACGGGGCCGTCCGTCTGTCTGTCTGCTGCGCTCTGGGGAGGGGAAGGCGCCTGCGGCTCCGATTCGGGGCAGCTGGCTCTGCCCCAGCAGGAAGGCTGCTCCGGCTGCCCCAGCTCCTGATTTGTTTCCAGCACCACCTCGGCTGGAGCTGCCAGCCCCAGGCTGGGCTCTGCCCCTGCTGCCTGTGGAGACGCACAGCGGGGATGCTGGAGCTGCGAGCCCCGGGCTGGCAGCCCCGGCAGGAGGTGCAGGCAGCGCTCCCAGCGCGGGCTGACATTTCTTGTCGAGCTGCAGCGGCTCCCGACACAGCACAGAAGCTGCGAATCCGAGCGTTCCCCCAAGGCCAAGCGCTTTGCAAGGCGCTCTCCTCTCCCGTTCGACCCGCTCAGGTGCTGCGAGTGCCACGGGTTTGGGGCACAGCCTGGAGCACAACTCCTGCAGGAGCTTCTCATCCTCGTTTCTGCCACCAGCGATGACTGCTGAGGGTTTCCCAGCGCTGCCCAAAGCGCAGGCTGACACGAGCTGGCTCTCGGGCTGTCTGGGAGGGCGATGCTCCTTGCAGCACGAGCAGGGCTGCTGCTGAGCCGTGCTGCCAGCTCAGCCCCTCGTCCCCTTCCCTGCTCCGCGGAAGGATGTGGCTGAGCGGATGTTTTCCCCCACTGGCAGGGTCGAGGTCTGCGTGGCCGTGAAGCCTCGCTGGGGTATTTAAACCTCTCCGCCTTGGGATGCACATCCCTGGGTCTCCAGGGAGGGGAAGTTCAAGGTGCCCGAGGGTTTGCTTGCTTCTTTCCATCACCTTCTGCAGCAGATCCGTCGCCTCTACGGGGCACGAGGAGAGCAGTGGTGATGGCCCCCTGGAGCTGGGGGTGGAGGGAAGGGGCCCCAGCCATCCGCTTTCATCCAGAGCTTCCTGAGCTCGCTCCCGTGCGCTCAGCAGAGGAAACCCCAGGGCTGGGAAGCAGCAGCCACGTGGGGACGGGCACAGGAGCCTCCCCAGGACCTTCAGCAAGGGCTGGGCTGCACAAGCCAGCTCTGAGGCTGCAGCCTGGCCTCTCTGCAGCCTTTTAGCCTCATGGAGACGCTGGCAAGCTTCTCCGCAGGGAAATTTCCCTTTGCAAATAGCTAAGCCTCCTCTGCCCTGCTCTGTACCGCAAAGGATCTGGTCTGGAGAGGATTTGAGCGTCTCCGAGCTTGTAAAAGCACCAGGTGATTTAACCTCCCCGCCACAGCTTCTGCATACAGCCCTCAGCTGGGAAATGGTGGGGCTGGCCTCCGCCAGGAGGTTTTTTGGGGTCTCATTCTGCTCCCGTTGCTCCGAGCAGTGGGAGGGAAAGGTGCCCGGGCTGCTGCGGTGCTGATGCCGGGGCCCCTTAAGCCAGCCTATTAACACCTCTAATAGCCTGTGCCAGGGCGATTTCCTGGTGCCTGCTGCGCAGAGCAGGCTGCGGGGCACTGCTAACCCGCAACTGCCCCGAATTAACACTTGTGATCTTTACGGGCAAGCAATTAGGCCACGCTCAGCCCGGCAAAGCAGCCGGAGCAATTATGACCATCCTATTAAAACTGACAGAGCTCACTCTATATATAGCAACGCAGGGAACAGGCTGGTTTATTTTTTTCCCCCTTCCTTAAATGATTTTCCCCAAGTCTCCACGGTCCATTTAGCTGGTCTCAGCCACAGCCAGCTGTAAACTTTGGAGGGGACATTCTCTGCTCCAAGCCACGGGCAGTTGTAATTTCCTCTGATAATGAAGCTGGGCTCGAGCAGTGTCAGCGGGCCATGGGGAGCTGGGCCAGCGGGTGGGGAACGCTCCCTCTTAACTACCAAAGCTCCCCCCAGCCCTCCTGTAAATCCCTATTGGGGTGGGGTGGGAGCACGGTGGGTGAGATGGTGTTAGGACAAGAGCAAATGGCCTGGAGTTGTGCCAGGGGAGGTTGAGGTGGGCAATGAGGAGCCATTTCTGCTCAGCCAGAGCGGGCAGGCGTTGGGACGGGTTGCCCAGGGAGGTGGGGGAGTCCCCGTCCCTGGGGGGGCTCCAGGAGAGGCTGGAGCTGGTGCTTGGGGACACGGCTCAGTGGGGACAGTGGTGGGGGGGTGCTTGTAGCAGGTGACCCTGGGGGGCTCCTCCAGCCCTAATGATTCTGGGATTGTGTGATTCTGTAACTCTATGATTTATGATAGCAGGTCCGGAGAGGGCAGTGCAGGGAGGACTCCTGGAGACCACCAAACCACAGAACACCCCGAGTCAGAAGGGACCCCCGAGTACCACAGCATCCATCTCCTATCTCCCCCCAGACCCACCCCAAACACCAAAACCACGCCAGCAGCACACCTTGAAGCACCCCCCACGTGCTGCATCCCCCCCAAAACCCCACCCTCACCCTTCTCCCCCATACCCACGCGCTCACCTCCATCCTCCCATTTTTCCAGCCCCGATCCCAAACCCCAGCTGCGGGCCACGCGCCCCCAAACCAGGAGCATCCCCAGCTGCGGGACACATCCCTCCACCACCCCCGGAGCATCCCCGGCTGCGGGGCGCAACCCCTCCAGCCCCGGCGCATCCCCGGGGCGCAGGGCTGGGATGCGGCGGGGGCGCAGCGCGGGGATGCTCCGGCGGCGGCCGGGCTGGGGGCGCTCCCCGGGGCGTTCCCCGGTGCCGAGCCGGGTGCGGGGCTCGGTGCGGGCTCCGCTGAGCTCACAATGCGGGCGGGAGCTGCCGGGGAAGGCGGGCGGAGGGAGGCGGGCCGGTGACTCATGGCTTCCCAGCGGCGAGCGGCTCCTCCCCGCGGCCGCCGGCCCCGCCGCAGCCCCCGGCACATGGGCCGAGGGTCGGGGTGCTCGGAGCTGGGGATGGCCGGAGCTGCCGGCCGCTGCCCGGATTGCTCGGAAGCCGACCGGGCTCGGGGAAGGGGCCGCGGGGTCCCTCCGTGCGTTCCCCACCTGGGGATCGCGGTGGATGAGGGCGATGTGCTGCCCGGGGCGCTGCGGCTGGTGCGGGAGCTGAGACCCGGCTGGGAGCCGGCGAGGGTGAAGACCAAGGTATGGCCCCCGCCGCAGGGGGGGGCGGGGGGGGCTCGCCCTGGGGGGGCCGCAGGGCGTGCGTAAAGGGGGCGCCGAGGTCCCGCTATGGGGGGCTACGGGACCCGCCGCGGGGGCTGCAGGGCCTGCCGGGGGGGGAACACATCCTGGCCCCCTCCATGCTCTCCAAAGACAGGGGCAGTGCAGGTGTGCACAGGTCTCCAGCATTAACCCCCCCCCCAGCAGGCTTTGGGGGTTCTCCCTTTGGGGAGAGACGGAGCGGGGACTGTGGATGGGAGCGGGACCCTGGGGGCTGCTGCAGGGGGTGGAGGCTGGGGGCCGTGCTGGCAGCACCCCCGCAGCATTGCCCTGCTTGGGGGAGCAGCAGGTCCCAGGAATGAGGGCTGGTGTGGGTTATCAGCGGTGTTGCACCGCTGCTCGGTCCCCTCGTGGGGCTGAGCAGGAGTTCAGCCGGGAGCTGGCATCGTCCCGAGCTGGCACAGTGGGTCCTGGGGCTAGGGGCTGCGTGGCTCTGCAGCCCCGTCCCCCCTCCATGAGTGCCAGGTCTTGGGGTGCAGCAGTGGGGGCTGCGTCTTCACTGGGGGGCACAAAGCGGGGCCGCAGTGGAGCTGGGCGCACCGAGACGCACGGACGTGTGCGCGTGTGTCCTCCGACGGCGCACACTTCCCGTGTGCCTGGAGTGTCATTAAAAATGTATTAATAGCCAAGTGTAATTAAATACAAGAAGCTGCAGGAAAAATACACGCGAAAAGGGCAGATGGTAAGAGACAGGAAGCTTGGAGCTGGAGTTCCTCACACCGCATAGTTGTCAGGGCAGGAAATGTCCCGGGCGCCGTGCGGCACCTAGCGCGGCACAGCCCTGCCCGCCGCGGTGACGGCTGGGGGGGACCCGAGGTGGAGAAGGATCTGGCTCTCTGGTGGCCAGGTTCTCTCCAGGCATAGGAGGGGAATCCGTGCTCAACAGCAGCTCGTGCGTGCATGCGTGTGGTTTTAATTTAAAAAAAGAAAAAGAAAAAAAAAAAACTTGGGAGATGTGGGGGGAACCTCCAGTTGCATTTCCCTTCGCTGCTCTTGCAAGAGCAGTTCGGGAGGGGATTGGAGTGGGACACTGGTCCTCAGCTGGTTCCTATTAGCGTTCCTGTTAGCTTTCCTCCGCGCACTGGAGCGGTGCCCAGTTCACACCACCTCGGCGCACGGTGTCAGTGCACAGCTGCTTGCAGGGACTGTACCAGGCTGTGCCTGTGCCGTGGAAAAAATCCCACGGCGCTTGGGGCAGGGTGCAGGAGATGAGGAGGACGGGTCCGGGTGCTCGGCCTCCCCCACCTGCCCTCCGGCTGCCGGGGTCTCCAGCCCCCAGAGCTGCAGGTTGTGCCCGGGGAGCCGGCTCCTCATCCTTTGAGCTCCGTTCCTGGGCAGAAACATCCCCGGACCGAAGCGGAGCAGGCGTTAGTCGGTGACTTCCAGCCACGCTACCAGGGCGCACGCACACCTCCATCACCCGTCTGGTGATAAGAGAAACTGCGATGAGGAGCTGAATGAACCACCACGAGGACTTCAGAGGGCTGTGCTCTGCCTCCCAGGACTTTTTTTTTTAACTTCGGCTGCTCTGACATGCTCGGCGCTTGAGGAGCGGCAGCAGGAGTGCCGGCGTGGGCACGGGGAGGCAGCAAACGCGGCAGCTTTGGGATCCCTGGGCTCACAGCAGGCACAGGGCTGCAGGAGGGGCCGGGGGTCTGCCTGTGTCCCCTCACAGGGGTGCAGCCCCACGGCACAGAGCTGCATCCCTTCGGTATCTCTGCACCAGGTCTTGCTTTTCTTTTAATTGCTGCTGAGCTCCTGGAGCAGTCACACTCACCTCCCCCCACCCCAAATCACACTAAAACAGCAGGAAAGGATTTGGGCTGGTAGCAGGCCGTGGCCCTGAAGCCAATTATTTGTACTTTGGAGGGTCAAGGAATATCCCAAGGAGTCACACTTGTTCATTGGGAGCTGGAGGGGGTGCCGGTGAGCCCCAGCATGCGTGCAGGTTGCTGCCGAGCCACGTGCGAGCCTCCAAAATTAACGGTCTGGAATTCAAGGCGGGGTGTGGGGGGGTGGGGGATAAGGCTCAGTAATCCCGCTAAACCCTCTGCAAAGGGCTGATCACGCCGCCAGGCAGCACAACAAGGCGCTGCGTGGAGCCAGCGCGTGAGGCAGCGCCGAGCATCTCCAGGTGGAGCCGCTCACCTGCAGCTGCTGAGCGTGGCGCTCGCAGAGGCATCGGCGCACGGCGGGACACCTTGTGCGTGGTGGGACACCTTTGGCACGGCAGGACACCTTGCGCTTGCTGAATTTCTGCCCTCTGGAGACTGGCGGGATGAGAAAAACAGAAGCCAAGCCCAGCACCGCGGTGAAAACGGGGATTATGTGGCCTGAGCAAAGCAGCTCGGCTGCTTGCGCAGCATCAGCACAACTCAGGTGCAGGTGAGGCAGCAGCAGCAGCGTGGGGGCGATGCCACCGGGCTGGCACAGCCTGCCCCGTGCCCCGTGCTCCCCCCGGGGATGCCGCCGCCAGCTGTGCAAGGAGGGGCGTTCACGCCGGCCGAGCCCGGGTGTGTAATTCCAGCGCTTTGAGTTTCCCTCGGCAGGCTGCATAGGGAAGCCCTATATATAGGCACCCTATATAGGAGCGCGAGTTGCTGAGTGAGCCGGCTAAAATTAGCCGTCCCACCCCCGAGCACCGCTGCTCCCTACCACGCGCCCTCCCGCTCCGCCAGCATCGCCCCGGCTCCGTCTCGCCCAGCTTCAGGGGGATGGAGGGAGAGCACACGGGGGACGTTCGGGTTCCCTCGAACACACCGGGGACTTTCGGGTCCCCTCAAACCTGCGGGGGACTTTTGGGTCCCCTCAGATGCTCAGGGGATTCTTGGATCCCCTTGAACACTTCAGGGACTTTTGGGTCCCCTCAAACGTGCGGGGGACTCATGGGTCCCCTTGAACACTCAGGGGACTTTTGGGTCCCCTCTCCAGCTGAGCATCCCGCCCACATGGGGGTCTCCAACGGGGCCAAGGAGCCCCAAACCCCTCGGCATGCTTTAGGGGATGGAAACCGGGGCAGGAAGGGGACCCCGGCGCGGGAGGCAGCGGGGCCCACATGTGCGCGGGCAGGCGGCCAAGCCGGGAGAACAAAACTCCCTTTCCATCTGCGAGGAGCCATCAGGGCAGTGACAAGAGACGTCCCCAGCAGAGACGTCCCTGCCTATCAGCGACTCCCGCCCGGCCCGGCCCCGCGGGGAGGATCAGGAGGAGGAGATGGGGTGGTGGTGTTTGCTCAGCCTTGTTTGCCGTGGCTTTTTTTTTTTTTTTTTTCCTTCTCGTTTTCTGCCAAAAGGTTTGCGCTGATTTTTTTGGGACCGATTCCCAGGGTTGCTGGGGTGCCAAGCGTGCTTGCAGCACATCCCGCTGCCCTTGAGCAACCAGGTGGAGAAGAGCAGCGGGTTTCCACCCCACGCACCTGCGCTTTAGGGTAGCCGAAAAAACGTGCCCATGCAGAGCCCCAGCTTAGGCGCGAACCTCGAGGCCTCACAAACTCATTCCACCTCCCACGAGAGCTTTCCTTGGGCACTGCTACATCCTAATCCCGTTTGCCCGTTGCCTCTTGTTGCCGTCACCACGTTGCTTTCCCCTGGGGTCTGCCCACGGGTGTGCCAGGAGGACTGGGGGGGGGTTCCCCCCGTGCCCACTCTGCGTGGCAGAGCCCTGCGGGCATCGCCTCTGCCGCCCCTCTCCCCCTGCAGCTCTTCACCGACGGCATCACCAACAAGCTGGTGGCCTGCTACACGGACGAGGACATGGTGGACGCCGTGCTGGTGCGCATCTACGGCAGGAAAACGGAGCTCTTCGTGGACCGGGAGACGGAGCTGAGGAACTTCCAGGTGCTGCGCGCCCACGGCTGCGCCCCCGACCTCTACTGCGCCTTCCAGAACGGGCTCTGCTACGAGTTCCTGCCCGGCATCGCCCTGGGGCCCGACCACGTGCGGGACCCCCGCATATTCAGGTGCACGGGACCCCCCCCAAGTGCTGGGGCGTGTGGGGATGGGGGGAGCTGGATGGAGCCCGTGGCCCTGCTTTGCTTTTCCAGCTCTGCCCCTCGCTGCTTCGCTCCAAAGCGGTGCCCGGGGGCTCTGCTCCCGTCCTTTCCGTGCCCAAAGCGGGGTGGTGCAGGGGGGGAACCGGGCTGAGTTCCCCGGTGAGGGGCACCTCAGTGGAAAAACCCAGTGGCACTGGGTTTTTCACCAGGTTTTTTAAGCTTTTGGTGAGTAAAGAGACTGCCCGAGAATTGTGGTTTATATTTGAGCCTCCCCTGGAAAGGCAAATGCCGTCTTTCACCCAGATGGGGTCTTAAAATCCTTCAGTGGCTCGCAGCTGAAATGGAGAGGGGTCTAAGCCCTGCTGGGTGTGGCTTTAGGAATCTCTTTAAGACATCTCCAGCCCCATCTCGGGCTCTCACCCATGTCTCCGTGGCTCCTTCCAGGCTGGTGGCCCAGGAGATGGCCCGGGTGCACGCCATCCACGCCAACGGGAGCCTCCCCAAGCCCATCCTCTGGCAGAAGCTGCACAAATACCTCACCCTCGTGAAGATGGACCTCAGCCCAAAGGTACCCAACCCCAGGTAAAGGCAGAGGGATCCCAAAGAGCCAGGCTCTGGCTTGGGCACCCGCTGCCCACCCACCTCTAGGTCCTCCTACGGGACCGGGGGAAGAGCCCCGGTCCCCAGGTAAAGCCTCTGCTGGAGTCTGGGGTTTGTGAGCAGGTTTTTGGGGTGGTCCTGGCCACGTGGCCACGCTTGGGCCACGATTCCTCACTGAGCAACCCTGTGGACGAGCCCCTCAGAGCAGGGGATGCTCGTGGGATGGATCAGCCTGGTGCGGGGAGGATTTTTGCTGCGCTAGGGCAGAGGCACCTTTGGGTGCTGCAGCCCCCAGGCAGGATCCAGCCTGAGCCAGCAGCTCCCACCTGCCGTAATCTTCCTCCTCCTCCTCCTCCCTGCAAACCTAGGCTGAGTTCAAAGCCATGGCTAGGATAAGGTGATGCTCAGGCCCTTCTGATTGGGGGGGGGACCTAAGCAGCGGGTGCTGGGGGGCGCAGCGTAGACGCAAGCAGCCAGCCCCCATTCCAAACCAGTTCACCCCATTGCTGGCAGGGCGATGCCCTGCTGGGTTCACGTCAGGTGAGTCCGTGGAAGGATGCGGGCAGCCCCAAGAGGCGGTGGAGGTGAACGAACCCCGAGGCAGGCAAATAATTAACCGGGTCCTGGGCAGCTGGGTGGGACGCTGGGCTGCTCTCCGCGCCTGCCGTGCTGCGGGCAGACTTTACCCACGTCTGCCCCTTAAATGCAGTCGGTTCGGTAATTATTAACCGGCTCTCTTCTTGGAACTGCAACCGCAGAGGGTACGGGATGGGTTACGTGGCCTGGGGGACGCCAAAACTTCCCATGGCCTTTGGGTTAGTGGGAAGCGAGCGGCGCTGCCGGGCTCCGCGGCTGATTTGGTGACGCTTGGGGGTGGGTGAGGACCGAAGCGAGGGGAGGGGAAGGGCTGAGGCTGAGCCAGGTGCCCTGGGCAGCACCAAGGATGCGCCACGTGCCCGAGCTGGCTTCCGAACCAAACCCAGCCTCGTTAGCTTGGTGCCACTGATTAATTCATTTATAACATGCACGAGGGGAACCGGGAGGGCAACCCTTCCCCTGCGCCCCCAGGGGATGCGAGCAGAAGTGATTCCACCCCCTTTCCTTTCCCCTTCCCCTTCCCCAGCGTCCACCAGGACGTGCCCAGCCTGGAAACGCTTGAACACGAGCTGGCCTGGATGAAGGAGACGCTGTCCCAGCTGGGCTCCCCGGTGGTGCTGTGCCACAACGACCTGCTCTGCAAGAACATCATCTACAACAGGACGCAGGGTTGGTGTGCGGCAGCGCGGCGTGCCCAGCTTGGAGAAGGGGGGGGGCTCAGCCCCGTGTCCCCTCCCTCACCCCCACGGGCACCCCTTGGCTCCGTCCCCAGCCCCTCGCAGCCCCTCGCTTTGCCTTCACAGAGCAAGTTCGGTTCATCGACTACGAGTACACCGGCTACAACTACCAGGCCTTCGACATCGGGAACCACTTCAACGAGTTTGCGGGTGAGCCGGGCTCCTCTCCGCGGCTCCCGAGACCCCCCCGTGGGTGGCGGCGGCTCCCCGAGGGCTCCCCATCCTTGGGGTGCAGAGGAGGCTGTCGCATCCCTTGGGAAATGGGCAGGGATCCATCCCCAGAGCTTTACTTTTGTCCAAGAGAATTAAAAAAGGGGCTGCCCGGGGTGAGAGCGATGCACGAGGAGGGGCTCAGCTTGCCGTGAGCCCCCCCCCAATTTGCTGCTGCCTGCAAGGACCCAGCTCTGATAACCGTGGTGGAGCTGGGCGGGTGCCCCAAATCAGAACCGAGCCCGGAGCTGGGATGCTTTCACCCACCCCGGCACGCTTAGGGGGGCCCCTTGGTCACCCTGGAGACCCCCCCCAAGGGGATTTCGCTAACCCCAGGTCCCCTCGCAGGCGTGAAGGAGGTGGATTACCGCCTCTACCCCAGCAAGGACACCCAGCTGCAGTGGCTGCGCTCCTACCTGCAGGCTTACAAGCAGCTCACCCAGGGCGAGCAGGGGGGCGCGGGGCCAGCCGTGTCCGACAAGGAGCTGGAGGCTCTCTACGTGCAAGTGAACAAGTTTTCCTTGGTGAGTGCCGGAGGGGGGGAAGGAGCTGGGCTCGGGGATGGGTTTGGGTCACTCATAAAGGGGCTGGGGGGGGTTGGGGTGAGGGCAGGGGGCTCCCCACGAGGGCCCGGCTGCACTCGGAGGTGCTGAGCCCCAGGGCAAGGTCAGAGGCGGTGCTGGTCTCCAGCCAGCAGCAGCCTGTGCCAAAGGGCAGCGCGGCTCACCGCAGCCTTGGGCATCCCACCAGAAAGGCTGCGTGACCCCCGGGTGCAGCCAAGCATGAGGAAATCCTCTTTTGGGCAAACAGAGCCGATCCTCTGGAAATTTTGGGTGCAATCTCAGCTGGTTTTTTTTTCCTGGCTGGAGCTGGCGCGGTGGTTTCCTGCACGGCGGGGTTGGTGTGAGGGGGGGTTTGTGGCTCTGTCCTGCCCGTGCCAGAGCGACCTGGGCAGGAGGAGGTCCCCAGTGGTGCCACAGGCTGGTGCAGGGATGGGGACGCTTCAGTTGTGAGAGGGATGGGGGCGTCCTGACCCCTTTACTTCTGCCAAGAGCATTTACAAAGCTGATTTTCGGAAAGGCCAAAGCAAAAGCTACCTGGGTGAGTGAGGCAGCACCTGGCCAAATTGCACTTTCTGTGTGCCGAACGCCCGAGCTCTGCCCCCGTCCCTTCCAGCAGAGCCCTATTGCTGCAGCAGGGACCTGGCCCAGCGGTGCCAAATCCCCATTGCCCGCTTTTGTGGGGTCAGGAGGGACACCCAGCTACCAGCACTGGACACCCCTGAGCACGTACCCCGAGCTGGTGCCCTGAGCACGCTGCGCGGCTGCTCAGCATCCTTCCTGCTGGCATTCCTCACCCGGGCTGCCATCCGCCTCTGGAGCATCTAAAGTTACACCCCTGGGCCAGCCCCAGCTGGCTGCCACCCCGTGTCCTGTGGTCACGGCCATGGGGCCGCTGGGACCCAGCCGGGAGAGGCGAGGGCATCTCATCCCGTGGGCAGGGAAGCTCCGTGCCCCTTCCTGAGCCTTGTTTTGTTGCAGGCATCCCATTTCCTCTGGGCATGCTGGGGCCTGATCCAGGATAAATACTCTACCATAGACTTTAACTTCTTAAGGTGAGTCCAGGAGGGGCTGGAGGGGACCGACGTCCCCAAAGGTCCCTCCCTGCTGGACGGATCCTACAGCCCGGGGGGGAGTCAGCACCGGGGTGGGGGTGACCGTCTCACGGCCGTCCCTCTTTCGGCAGATATGCAAAGCTAAGATTTAAACAGTACTTCAAGATGAAGCCGGTGGTCACAGCCCTGCAGCTCTCCAAATAGCATCTCTGGCCCGTGAGACCCTGAGCTATTTTGTCCTTGCTGCGTCCACAGCCCCCGGCGCCCCCCTCGCCCCTTCCCCGCCCCAGCCGGGGGTGAGGGCAGGTCCTGCTGGTGGCGAGGGGGGGAGAGGAGCTCTGCCCCAGCCCCCCCGCTTAAAGGACACCCTGGACATACCCAAGACTGGACCACGAGACGCTCGACAGGACCACGGCCTCGGGGAGGTCCCTGCCCTGCGCAAGGAAACCTCGCCACCCGGCTCAGCCCCGCTGCCCAGCGGCTCCGTGCCCCGCTGGCACCGCTGCTGCCGGGCCTGGCAGCGGGTTTATTCCCTCCGTGCCGTCCCCAAGGGAGGGATCGGGTCCCCCCCCCAGCTGCTCAGCAGCCCCAGGAGCTGCCAGGTCGCTCCAGCTGCCCAACGCACACGCTGCGCCCGTCGCCGTCTTGGCTCCCTGCCTCCTCCTTGCTCGGTGTCCCTCGGGCTCTCACCCCCCCCCCAAAAAAAAAAAAACAAAATAACACCTTTTAGGTCAGTGTTGATCCCAGATTTGGGGCCGTCTCTGAGCAGGGGACCCTTTTCCATACCGGCTCCAGGATGCTGCGAGGCAGCGAGGGGCAGCGATGGCTCGGGGTGCCCGCGCCCCCCGCGCTGCGCTCAGCCCACAGCTGCTTTTCCCTGGGGGGGCGAGGTCTCCTGGGCCCCCCATCTCCTCCCTGACCCCCCTTACAGCATCCCACAGCAGGGCAGCTCCCCCAGCACCGGGGGGGTGAGAGGGGGTTGGTGCTGCCCCATCCTTGTGCCCTTGGCGCAGCGCCGTGTGGGACACCCCGGTGATGGAGCCACCCTGCCCCAAAAAGTGGGGGGGGGGCACAGCTTTGTCCCCGGGTGGCGTTCATCATCATCATCAGCTGGGGAGGTGGGGGGGGAGTTGGGGACAGCGGACTGTCAGGGCCCAGGAATTTACCCCACTTTTTTTTGTTGGGGGTTTTTTGGGGACTTTTTGTTGCGTTCGGTGTTGGTTTCGGTGCGCAATAAAAGCTGCTGGTAGCTGGAAAGCCGGGGGCCGGTGGGTGCGTGGCGCCTGGGGGGGGGGCACCCGGAGCTCTCCTGGGGAAGGGCAGAGCCTTTGGGGGGGTTGAACACGGGGGGGGTCCCCTTGTAGGGTGGGCTTCTGCTGTGCTCTGGGGCTCCTTGGAGCTGCAGCGGGCAGCAGGTGGAGGAGTTTGGAAGCCCCAAAGTGGCTACGAGGAGCCGAGACCCCCACAAAAACCCAGGTGGGAAGGAGGGGGGGGGCAGCTTGGGACCCCCCCCCGCAGGCAGGAGAAGGAGCTGGGGGCCAGCAGAGAGAAAAGGGAGGGAGCAAAGCCTCGGGGCTGGGCTGGAAGAGGGGCAGGGAAGGTGGGGGTGAAGCCCCCCCCCCCCCCAGTTCTCTCAGCTCCAAAAAGTCAGCTTTATTGTGCCAAGGGGTTGGGAGGGGGGGGGACGGGAAGTGGGGGGGGGGGGGACAGCTGTAAACAAGTATGTGAAATATACAGGTTAAGTTACTCGTCTTATTAACAAAATAAAGCTCTATCTATATTTACAGTCTTTAAAAAAAAAAAAATAGAGAGGAAAAGCTGCCAGCCCCCCCACCCCCAAAAAAAAACCGCCTCCCCCCCCACCCCCACCCCAAGCACAACCCACCCGCCCCCAGCCTCAGCAGCCCGGGGAGGGGGAATAAATAAAGCTCTGACAAGGGGAAGGAGGCAGGAGAGGGGGGGCGAGGAGGCAGGACCCCCCCCCGGGGGGGGCGCACGGAGCCCGCAGCCCCGGCGGCGGCCACACGGCGGAGCACGGGCTCCGCGCCCGCCCCTGCGCCCCCCCCCCGCCGGCCCTTGGGGGGGTGCTGGCTGCAGCCAGGTCGTATTTTATTATTATTATTTTTTGTAACATTTTCTTTCTTTTTTAAAAATGTTCCCTTTTATATTTTATTTTTTTTTAATTGTCGGGTTTTAAATTTTTCCCTTGATTTTTTTTTAATTTTCCTTTTCCTAATTTTTTCCTTTTTTTTCTTTTCTTTTTAAATTTTTCCTTTAATTTTTTAAAATTTCCTTTTAAATTTTTTTCCTTTTATCTTTTAATTTTTCATTTATTTTTTTTTTATTTTCCTTTTCTTCCTTTTTTTTTTTCTTTTAATTTCCTTTTTTTTTTTAATCTCTGTTTTTCTCTCAGGTCACGGGTGCAGCTCACCATCCTGGGGCAAGAGGAAACCCCCCTCGGCCCCCCCCAGGGATGCACCCTGGCATCACGGCACATACCCAGGGGCTGCCGGGGGGCTGGTGCAGCAGCGCAGGGTGGGGGGGGAACAGCCCCCGCTTTATTTACAAAGTGGGCCAGGGCTGCCGGGAGCATAAAGGGCTCCTCAGAGACCTTGGCTCGTGCTCCGGCCAGGCGAGAGCTAAAATTGGCTCCGTGGGAATTCACTGGCAGGCTCCGAGGGCCGGGAAGGAGACGCAGCGGGGCTGGGGGGGGGCTCTGCTGAGCGTGGCCCCATCCCGTATCCTGGGGGGCTGGCGGGTGCTCTGCGGGTGAGGCTCTCAGCAAGGGTCCCTGTGGTGCCGGGGTGGAGAGCTGGGTGATGCTCGGGAGGTTTTCCCACATCCCCATCCCCTCCTGGGGGGGTGCAGGGGGGGGGACAGCTCGGTGGCACCCATAGCAGCCACCCCGTGCGCATTGGGGGCGGCACGGCCACGTACCCAAACACCCAGCAGCGTGCATCGCTTCTCCATCACCTCACCACCCAAAATACCCCACCTGCCCCCCACCCCAGCCCCAAATTCAGTCCGTCAGCACCACCAGCTCGCCGTCGCTCTTGTCCTCGCCCTCCGAGTCCTCGTCCTCGCTGTAGCGGTACATCTCACCGTCGGCCACCGAGTGCCCGTCGTCACCGCCACCGCCGCCACCGCCACCGCCGTCACCTTCCTTGAGGCTGCGCGTGTTGACGATGACGGGCATGTTGGGGTCCACGCTGCGGGGCAGGTAGTGCTCCATCAGGGGGGGCGTCAGCTGCATGCCCACCGCCCGCGGGTACAGCACGTCCGAGGAGGAGGGGGGCATCTGGCTGCCCTGCGGCCTGCGGGATAAGGAGGAGGGGGATGCAATCAGCTGCTGGGTTTGGGGAGGGGGGGGCGCACGAGCCCCTTTTTGCCCCCACCCCACTACGTTACCCTATCAAGTAGCCCTGCCGTGCGTCCTGCCGCCGGTTGCGCATCAGCGCCTTGTACTCGCCCACGCGCAGCCGCTTCCCCTCCACGATGCACGTGCGTTTGGGCCGGGGTTTGTACTTGTAGTCGGGGTATTTCTCCAGGTGCTGCCGGCTCAGCCGCGCCTGCTCCTCGTAGTAGGGCTGCTTCTCCTGGTTCGTCATGGATTTCCAGCGGGAACCTGGGCAGAAAGGGGTTGGGGGGCGCACGGTTTGCTCCTGCCGTGCCGCGGCTCCCCCAACCTGCTGCAAGGAGCCCAGCGCGCACGCTCCCGTGGCAGTCGTGCTCGTGCACGTTCCCCTTTTGCTGCACACACCTGGATTCGCACAGGGCAGCGGGACGCAGCCCCAAACCGTGGGGACCTGGGGAGATGCGGCTGCCCCAGGTGAGATGGGAGCCAGGGCTGGTGGCACCCATGGGGGCCCCGTGCCGCAGGCGGCAGTGCCGGGAGCGGGTCCCCAGCCCTGACCTTCCCGGCACCTCTCCGGCCACAACTTTCACCTCTCTCCCCTCTCCAAGGTACGGTGAGCAGGTGCTGCAGCTAAAATAGGCTGTGCCAGCGTGTGATTCCAATTCCCCTGCTGGCTGACCTTTATTGTCATCTCCGCCAGCACCCGAGGCAGGAGAGCAAAGCGGGGGGCATGGCACAAAGGGTGCTGGCCGGGGCCAGGCTGGGGAGGGACAGGATCAGCCCCCTCGGTGCCGCACCGAGGTCTGAAGCTGGATTTGTGTCCAGGGCTGGGGAGAGATGGGCACGGTGGGAGAATTGCAGCGGTGGCCACCAGGGAGCAGGAGCTGGGATGGCTCAGGCGAGGCGCAGGGGCTGCGGCTGCAGCTTCCACCGCGCCAAGGGGGCGCGGGGGAGAGCGAGCTCAGCTCTTCTCACAGGTGCACGGTGGAGGACGAGAGGCAGCAGCCACAGGGGGAATCACAGCGGGCCACGGGGAAAGGATTCAGCCCACTGGGAGTGGTGCAGCCCCGGGACGAGGTCCCAGCGGGGTGTGGGATCTCCAGTTGTGGAGATGCTCAGGGTCAGCAGCGCACAGCCCTGAGCATCCTCATCTGCCCGTGGAGTCAGCAGGGCTCTGAGCAGGCCTTTGGGCTGGACATTTCCACAGACCCCACGCCCTAAAATCCTCTTTGAGCCTCCCCATCCCTCCCTTGGGTCTCCATCACCCCCCAGCCCAGCCCAGCTCCCCGGGGAGCATCACCACTCCCCGGGCTACCCCAGGGAAAGCGCAGCAGGGAGGCGTGCACGCCCCACGTCCACCTTACTCAGGCCTCCTCCACCTGCTCAGCCCTTCGTGCTGAGCCCACTTTTTCAGGAGCAACCGTGCCGGAGAGCACACAGGAACCAAAACCCCCCCGATGCGGGTGAGCACCGCTCGCCTGCAGGTATTCACCTGCTAAATTTGCACCCGCGAGCGGATGCCAGGCAAAAAAAAAAACAACAAACCAGCGCCGGTTATTTAAAGCCACGGACATCGAGCGTGAGAGCAACCAGCACACCACAGAGCACCCGCTCCCAGACTCCCCCCCCGGTCCCCAGCGGTTGCGAGCAGATCCTGCCCGCACGTTCCCTCAAAGGGAAAAGCCTGGCGGTTGTTTCGTTTCTTCTTTACCGAGCGGAGCTGCTAAAACGAGCCGGCGGCGGAGCGAGGTGCGTGCGCTGGAGGTGAACCCACAGCGGGGCCGCGCCGCGCCGCCGCACGCTCGGCTTGGCCCTCGGGACGGGCTCGCTGGAGACCGCACCGCTCGCTTTTAATAGCCGGAGGCTGGGGCAAAACGGCCGCGGGGAAGGGCTGGAGAGACAGCGAGCTGCCGCAGGGCCACCGGGGTCATGGGGCTGGGAGGTGGTGGGATGAGGATGCTGCTGCTACAGGCACCATGAGGGTGCCGAGTGCTGGAGCAGCATCCCGGAGGGGTGAGGAGCACCTCGGGGTGCAGGGAGGGGGGAAAAAGAGCAGATGCTGCGCTCAGGTGGAGGCCGGTTGGAGAGGGTGGCAAAAACACGGTGCCGGGCTCCAGAATTGGCCAGGGCACCATCAGGCAGAGGAGGGATTTGCCCCACAGGACCCTGCTGGTGCTCTGTAGGGCCAGCAGGTGGTGGTCACCCGTGGGGTGATCACCGAGGACCCCCCCAGTGTGAGCAGCACCCAAGGACCAAATGCACCCAGGGTGGCCAAATGCAGCAGGTCAGGGCCCATCCTCGTCCCTGCCATGCACGCTGCCTCCCCGCACACCTCCCCCTGTCCCTCTTGGCATTTTTAAGACCTTGTCCCCAGCTGCACCAAACGCCAGGAGGAGGTTTTGCTCCTCATTTCACCCCCAAACCACAGCCCGGGGCTGCCCACCCAAGGGGCACTCACCCAGGATCTTGCTGATGCTGGAGTTGTGCATGTCGGGGAAGGCTTGCAGGATCTTCCTCCTCTCATCCTTGGCCCACACCATGAAGGCGTTCATGGGCCGCTTGATGTGGTTGTTGTTCCTGGACTCGGGGAAGTGCCGCGAGCCTGCGAGGCAAAGCAGGGGCCGGCTCAGGGCGGGGGGTGAGGGGAATGGGGTGGTGTGTCCCCCCCCCACCGGACCTGCTGGGTGCCCCCCTGCCCTACCGTCCATCTCGCAGCTGAGCAGAGCCTCGTCCAGGCGGTGCGCGGGGGCCTCCTCCAGCCGCTCCTTCACCGGGGAAGCAGTCCAGGCCGACGTGATCCTGTGCAGGGAGGGGGCTCAGGGATGTTACGCCTCGTACGGAGACCGATTGGGGTGAGAAAAGGCGGATTTGGACCTGGCTCACCTTGCGGTAGGGGTGGCTGAGCGCGCCCTCCATGGCCCCGCCGTGGCCGTGCAGCAGCTGCCGCGCGTCCTGGATGGCTTTGGTGATGGCATCGCCTTCGCCCAGGAAGCCTGGTGGCAAAGCCCGGAGAGCACCCTGTCAGCATCAGCACCCCAAAACCCCCGCAGCACCCATCCTGCCCTCGCAAACCCAACAGGAGCTGCTTGTGGGGTCGCACGGAGCCACGGGGTGGCTGCTGCCCACCGCAGCAAGGTGGGACCCCAGGGAGCAGAGAGGTCTCCTGCGCCTAGGAGGTGCCCAGGATGGATGAAAGCTTTTGGGAACCCACCCAGAGGCAGGTTGGACGGGCTGGTCTGCAGGTCCCTCGTGGCCCCGTGGCTCGGCGTGAGGGATTGGCAGCTGCTCATCTTCAAACTGGGCGAGCTGGAGGCACTGGGAAGCTCGGAGCCTTTGGGTTTGGCCGTCAGGTTCAGCGGCTGCGAGGTCTCCTGCGGCGGAGGAGGGAAGGCAGGGTGATGTGCTGCCCACATGCCCCCCAGCTGTGGGTTTTTTTTTTTTTGGGGTGGTTTACGGATGCTTTGGGGCTGTACCTGCATCTGGAGGTGGCTCGAGCCGCCGGGTCTCTTCAGCGTGGGAGGAGGGGGGCTGTGCAGCAGCTGCACGGGGTAATCCACTGCGGGGAGCAGAGACGGAGGCGTCGGGGGACGGGGCCACCCCTTGGGGTGCCCCTCTGCGCCCCGGGGGACCCCGCTCACCTGGTTTGCAGGGGATGGGCTGGATGGGCAGCGCTATCTGGGGGTCCTGCGTCACGGGGAGAGGCTGGTGGCTGGGGGTGAAGGCGGGGATCATGACGTACGGCATGTTGACCTGCTGGAGGGAAGAGGGGGAGAGGAGCGGAGAGGCCGGGTGACCCCCTCCCCGTGCGCGACATCACCTCGGGCTGGCCCTGCGGGGTGGCAGCGGGGTGATCCCCGCCTTTACCTGGATCTGTTGCTGCAGCAGGTTGATTTTGTGCTGCTGCTGGATGAGCTGCTGCTGCTGCTTCGCGATCTGGCAGGAGGGAGACAGCGGGGCTGAGCCGCGGGAGCAGGGAGCCCCGAGCCCCAGCGGGGCACGAGCTGCCCTACAGCAGCAAAGCAGAGGCTGCAGAGGTCCCCGTGGGCTGCCGGGGGTGGGTAGGGTGCTAACTGAGCTGTCCCTGCGTCACCTCGACAGGCACGAGGTGAGAAATAGGCTGGGAAGGGAGCGTGTCACCCACACCCCATGTGGCAGGGGTGTCAGCCCCGCACTTATAGCACCAAAACCCTTCAGCCCCCGACGCCAAAGCCACCTCCCCACCACTTCTAGGGCGCCCCTGCCCCTGCTCCTCATCCCCTTGGTCCCGTTCCTGCGTCCAGAGGACACCAAAACCATCCCCAACGGGACAGTCCCCGCGGCCGGGGGGGTGCCCGAGCCCACCTGCTCCTGCTGCTGCCGCGCCAGCTCCATCTGCTGCTGCTGCTTCTCGAAGAGCATCGCAGCCATGTTCTTCTGCTCCGAGTGCGCCGTCAGGAGCTGGTCCCGCAGCGTGGACAGCTGGTTGATCATCACCAGGAGCTGCAGCTCCTTCTCCGCCAGGCTCTCCTGGGTTCCTGCGCCAGGGAAGGAGCCGCGAGGCTGCGGGTCAGGGGGCTTGGGAAGGGGTGAGCGGCATCAGGTGGGCGAAGGGTGGCCAGGGGACCATGCATGGGATGTTTACAGACCCCGATGTGCTCTGCCATCCCTGTGTGTCCTCAGAACAAGCTTTTAGCAGGAACCCTCCTCCCCTCCCCCCAAAAAATCAAATGAACGTTTTGGTTACGAAACACCAAAACGCACAAAGCTGCGCGCACGCCTGCTGGTGGGGGGGGGGGACACAAAGCTGCCGGCCCCGTGGGCACCGAGGAGGCAGGGAGGGGACCTCACCCTTCACTTCTTTGGTCTCGGCAGCGTTTCGGCCCAGCAGCCGCTCCTTCCAGTCACTGGACAGCAATTTCTCGATGGTTGGCATCACTGTCCCCAGCGGCAGGCACACGGGGAGGCAGGAGAGAGGAGGGGAGGAGAGGAGAGCCACGTGAAAACAGCACGGGATGGCGATTCCCATCCTAAATCTTTCCGAAATCAGCCAGGGGGTAAATCACAGGAGCCTTTCTTACCCTCTTTTAGGTTCTTGTTGAAGTCCAGCTTCTCCTGGCTGCTGACAGCCGGCTCGAAGGCCGAGCGCCGGGGCTCCAGCGCATCGCTGGTGGGCGAATGGGACTCCTGCAACACACACGGGGTCAATTGGGGGAGGTTCCCATGTATGGGGACATCCACGGGGCTCCGGGCAGGCGGTGCTGAGCTGGTGGGATGCTCGGAGCCAGCCCCACCAGGCTGGCTACGGGGCCACGGGACCCTGCGGCACATCCCTGTCCTCTGGGGAGCAGCCCTGCTGGAGAGCATCTCCGCTCCTCCTGCGGCCAGGACTCGTTTGCAGGAGGTTTTTGCTAATTATTTAGGCTGCCCTGCTCCTCTAGGCCCAGGAGGGCTATGAGACAGGGGGAGAGGATGGCCGAGAGCAACTGAAATGGGAAAATGAGAGGGTGGCCCTAGGACTCCGTGCGGAGGAGGTGTGCAGGCGGCCACGGAGGGCTGCAGGCCAAAGGCAAATCCCAGGGCTGACCCGAGAGCATCGGCAGCGGCCAGAAAGCCTGGGGGAGCCTCAGGTTGCAGCCTCATTTCCTCAGGATGAGAAATAAAAGCTCGGGGAAACAACAACCCCCGTCTGCCCGGGGCGGGATGCAGCGCGCTGCCAGCACGGTGGGACCCGGGCTCGGTCAAGGCCAGGACCAGGGGGCTGGAGGGGGGGTGACAGCCGTGGGACCCACCTGTGGCAGAGCCTGGGGGTCCGTGCCCTCCCTCGGAGGTGGTCCCGGGGGGTCACTGGGTCGGGGCTCGGCGCTGGGGGCAGCCCCCGGCGGGGACTCGTAGCCGCCCTCCTTCTTCTCCTCCGTCTTGATGGTGCAGTTCACCATGCTGCCCGCCCCATCGAGCTCCAGGTGGGGAGAAACGGGGCTCCTCATGGACATCCTGCGGGGCAACGGGGCCGTCAGCGGGGTGATGGGGTCCCTCTGCTCCCCCCCACCCCAAAGCAGGGGGCACCCCTTCGCCCAGCCCTGCCCCGTAGCTGGGTGCGCCGTGCCGATGGTTTGCAGGGGTGTCGGTGAAGCTGTGCCCTCGCTGTTCTGTAGGGTTTCCATGACCATGCCACGGGCTCCCGACCCTTGGCTGGGCACCACAGGGCTCTGAAGTGACCGGGGGGGGACACCGAGCATCACCACGGCCAGCCTTTTCCATGGGGTCAGCCAGTGCCGGGTGGCAGAGGCCGAATTCCCAAATGGGACAAGCCGGGACCGCAACGGGATTGCACGGGGGCGAGGGAGAAGAGCCCGACTGCGGTGTTCCCTGCGGGGATTTCCCCTCCTGGGCCACCAACCCTCAGGCTGCGCAGACTGGCAGCAAACATCGCCCTCCCCAGGCTCAGACATCGCCCTCCCCAGGCTCACAAATCAGGGAGGAATAAAGGGGAAAGGGGGCCACGAAGGACGGGGTTTGCACCACCGGGGGCCAGGCTGGAGGGCGCAGGACCTCAGGGGCTATGGTGTGCTGGGGAGGGGGGGTCTGCACACCAAAGCAGGGACCCCAAAAACCTGCTGCAGCCTCCGGGGGCTCACGCCTGCCCCCCAGCATCTCGGGGCCCCCCGAAAATGGGCTAGGGGCCGAAGCCGGCTGCCCGACTTGGGGGCAGCGGTGACACAACAAACAAAGGGCAGCTCAAGCTGCGAATTAATCAACCCGCTGAAAATAAAACCTTCCTCTCAGGAACTTCAAACAAAAGAAACGAAAACAACAAGGCCGGCTGGGTAATGAAAAGCCAGGGCTCTGAATAGGGGACAAAAGGAAGTGGAACAATGGGGTGTTGGACAAAAGCAATAAAGTAAAGGGAAGTGTGACAGCTCAACAATGGGGCACTGTGCGCGCCAGAGTTTCTGATCTTAGCAGGGCTTTTTTTAATCTCAGTTCCCTGCCCTTCTCCGAACAAATCATTGCGCTCGCCGGGCTCGTGGGCTTCCTCCCGGCCCCGGCATCGCACGGGATCTGCCCGCATCCTGCAGCACCGCCCGCGTCGCCCCTTCCTGCCCCCCAGCCCACCTCGGGGGGCGGCCAGGAGGGGACCCCGGGCACTGCCACCCCGTGCGTCCCGTCCCGTCCCTCCCGGCCTCACCAGAATAAAAACACACCCCGTGTGCCCTCGGCACGCCTCGGCCGGGGAGGAAAAGGGAGGAAAAGGGCGCTTTTGGCACCAAAACGGGGATGGCGGGGAGCCAGCGGGAAGCCGTGCCCTGTGGCTGCGGGTGCTGCGCCCACCGAGCCGGAGCTGGGAGAGCAGCAAGGGGCTGGATGTGGCCCATGGGGAAACCGAGGCACCAAAGCACGGTACTTGTTGCCTCGGGTGGATTTATAATTTGGGGAAGATGCGGGAATAAAGACGGGAATAAAGACGGAGTTTGGCTGGGCGCTGAGCGCAGCTCCACGTGCACGGAGTGGAGCTGGGGGAGCAGCAACAGCAAGCACCTGAACCCAGCACGGGGAAGCAAAAAAAGCCCTGAGGGCACCCCTGCACCTTCCTCCAGCCTGTCTTTAAAGGAAAAAACCCTGCTCCTTGCCTTCCTGCCCCTGCTCTCCCCTCCCGGACTGCATCTCCTACCAAATCCCCCTCCTAGGGCAGGTCACCCCCCTGTGGTCCTAAACCCCGCGGGGCCACTGGAAGTCCACTCTTAAAATGGGGCTGGTGCTTTAATAGGGGGCTGCTGAAAGGGGCCTCCTTGTGGGTTTATTGTACAGTTTGCTGAACAGAAAAAAAAATATATATATATATAAAAAAAATGAGAAGAAAAAGGAGAAAAGCGCACAGCTCTCTTGTTACAGGCTCGCTCTGTACCAGGCCTGCGCCGGCAGGCTCAGGTGCTCGGCTCAAGGGCTCCTCTGTTGTGCAGACAATAGGGACGGGGACAATTGCCTTGGCACCGGGAACACGTCTTCATGGAGCAGCTCTTCACCTTTAATGTTCCCCGATTAATGAAGGGCGGAGGGGAACGGCGCGCGGATGAGACGTGCCCGCCTGGGGAGGCAGAGCGCAGGCAGGATTCGCACCAACCGAGTGCCACCAGCCCACGGCGGGGGGATAAGGTGTCCCCAGGAGCCTTTGGGCAGCACGAGGAGGGCTTATTACGACCACCAAAGCCCTAAATCGTCCATCCCCTGCAAGCACCACTTGCTCAGCTCGCCTCCGAGAGGCCCCAGCCGCTCTGTGCCACCCAAACCTCCAGCCCAAGGGGTTGCCACCTCGGGACGGCGACAGCCCCGCTGCCCTGCCGCTTTCCTGCCCCGTTAGCACCCCTCAATGGCACGTCCTGCAATTCTCCCCGTGTGCCGTGCCACCCTTCCTGGCTGCACGCTGATCCTATCTGCCCCGCCTGCGGCGCACAAAACGGCTCCAAGGGGCAGGGGCAGAGCCGGCAGCAGCCTGGCACCACGGCTGGGGGATCGGTGTGTGCCTCCTGCTGACCCCCCCCGGTCCCCCAGAGCCTCTCCTGCCTGTGGATTTGTCGTCCCGGTTGCACAAATGGAGGAAAAAGGCAGCAGTGTGTGCTGCGGGATGGGTACGGAGGGTTCCTGCTCGCAGGGCGGCTGCCTGCAGCTCGGCAGGGCTGGGGCGCACACGCTGAGGCTCGGTGAAACCCAAACTCTTGTAAAAACACCAGCGAGTGCAGGGGGGGGGGGGACAGAAAGCCACAAGCACACAAAGTCCCCTGAGCTGCTGCAGCACGAGGTAGAAGATCCCATTTCGGCGCACAGGAGATCCCATCGGGGCAATTCCACCTCCTCGTGTCCCAGGAGAGAGGGGGAGCGCAGGAGCTGGCTGGGTCCTGCACCCCTACTCGCCCCAGGGCTGCTCCCACCCCAATGTTTGACGGGGCGAGTCGGGCTGCCCAGCTTTTATTCCTGGCCCCATCATGTAGGCCAGGGGATCTGAGAGGCTGTCGTGTTGTTTTTTTTTATCTTTTCCTCTTTCTACACAATTACAGCAGAAAATTATCAGTTCATACATCCCTCCCCAGCCAGGGAGAAAGCACAAAGTGTGGCCAAGCGCAAAAACCCAAGGGGGCACCGAGAGCGAGGCCGGCCTGAAGGCACCACGGGCAGGAGCCGCGCATCGCCACCACCACGCTTGTGCCCCCAGCACCCCCTGGGGAGAGGGCAGAGGAAAAAAAAAAACCACGCACAGGTTTTCTCCTTCCACACAGGCCCAAGGAATCCCTCCGGCCACCGGCACAGACAATAGCCCCGTCTCCTGCCAGACGAGCGGGCCGCTTTCCTGCCAGACTTGGAATGTCCTTTCGGGGCCCTTTCCAAGCCTTTCCGCCCAGCGTGCCTTCGCACATAAAAGAACGGATGGCTTCCTCCTGCCGGGGCCGCGCCGTGCCCGCGGGGGTGGCCGAGGTGAAGGCCCCCGGCTGGGAAGTTCATGGGGTTGCCATTTTTTGGGGATGTGGCACGTCCCCCGGTGGGCTCCTGCACGGAGAGGGGACAGCAGGCAGCAGCTGATGGGAGAGGGGCTTCGGTGGGTGTCAAAGAGCGGGGTTGTGGCTTCGCATCTCACGCTGGGGGGGCTCACGAGGGATTGCCATCAGCCTCCGGCCCCTGCCCCTAAAGCCCACCCTGCTGTCCCCACCGTGGCGCTGTCACTAGCGGGAGGAAACGGTGACCTTTGGGGACACCGGCGGGGACACGGCGGAGCTGGGAAGCGCAGCCAGCGTGGCTCACAGCCAGAGCCCTGCACAGATCCTGAGGATCACCACCCAGAACCGCTCAGCAAAAAGAAAGCACCAGACCCCCGGCGTTAACTGAAAAAGCCGGATTTAAGCCCAGAAGACTGTCCAGATGCTGAGCTTATCCAGCAGCAGAAACGCCACCGCCACTGTGACAGCCACGTGTCCGGGGGACACCGAGCAGCAGCGGCGCTCGCAGGGCGCTCGGTCCCCAGCTCGCACCCATCCTGCCCCAAAAACCGAGGCGCTGCAGCAGCGGAAACGCGCTGCGTTCGGGCGAGCCCGAGCTCTGCACATCCTCTCTAACGCCTCACCTGCCCCCGGCATGCCCGCGGAAAGCCCCGGCCTTTTTCCCAGAAGGCTGCCGAGAGCTCGGCTTGCTGGAAAAAAACACCAAATCGGTGCCAAGAAGGGCGAGTTTGGAAAGCCCTGGGGCTCCATCCTGGCAAAGCCTTGGGGGCTCATGGAAAAAGCCCCATCCTGAGCGAGAGCCGGGATTCCCACTGCCCAAACAAAACAGGCGGCACCTTTTCCAGCCTCCAGCAGCTCCCCGAAGGCAACGTCACCTCTGGGGAGGATAACGGCCTCCGGAAACGTCGGGGCGAAGCGGTGACACAATGGGGACAGCGTCAGCATCACGGAAACCCCCAGCCAGGGGCACCTGTGCCCCCCTGGCACCCAGCTCCCCTTCTGGCCCCGATCCCACGGGGCCGGGACTCGTGCCCCACAGGGGAAGGATTTTTCCCCTTCGCTTTTGGGGTTCGCATCATCACAGCTCCGGCACGGCCTCCTCTGTGGGGGCAGCACCAATTCTCCATCACTGAGATGGAAAGTAGAAACGCCCGGCTCCTCTTACAGCCTGGCTCTTGCCCCTAAAGCGATTACCAGCAGCTCAAGCAGCATTTTGTCATTCTGTCCCCAAACCCAACCTTCTCCAAAGGCCTCCGGGCCTCAGCTAGGACTGCTAACGAAATGCTCGTCTCGCTGATGCGTGCCGGCCGGGGAGCCCTTCGGATGGTCGGGGAAATCTAAGCAGTCCTGCAAAACTTGGGGAGGGAGGGGAAAACGTGTTAATTGCTAAATTCACTTAGGATCCGCACGAGCAAGATGGAGAAAAAAAAATGAATCTGGGGGCATAGGCAGAGGGGAAGGAAAGGATCTGGGGGGCTTGGCAGAATGGATCTACATCATGCAAGGAGGAGAAGGGCCCAGGGTTGTGCACGGCGCCTGCGAGCAGCAGCAGACGGAGTCCTTCCAGGGGAACCCTGCCCTTGGGGGGCTCGGGTCCCTCTTTCCGAAGAGGTTTGTGGAACAACCCCAGGGCTTGAACCATGCCCCAGCCCTATGCTGTGCCCAGAGGAGGCAGCCCAGTGCCAAGGGGAGCGGGCAGGAGCAGCAAGGTGATGCCCCAGCCCTGCGGGGTGCTCGATGTGGGAAGGGGAAAGGAAAAAACCTGCCTGAAAATGGCAATTTCCAGGTGCCAAGTGCGCCCTCCGGGTGCCAGAGCCCATCTGGTCCAGCCCGTGCAGGTTTGAACTGCGCCTCTCCCCCCTCCTCCCGATGCCCCCCCCTCTTACTAACAATTTCCAGCAGCGCACTTGGTGCTGCTTTCGTAGGGCTTCTGAGGTTTCTTTTACCACCTGGCTCTGGTTTCTCATGAAATGGCCCAGGGACGCATCACGGCACGGTGCCTTCCTGTCTTACTCAGCTGCTCCCTCCCCGTGCTGCCTCCCAGCACCAGGGCCTTGCTGGGACCCCCCCTCTGCCATCCTTTGCCCCCCTCCCTCCCCATGTCCACCCCCATCCGACAGCGAGCAGAGAGCCCCAGAGCGCTGGCCCAGGGGGAATTAAATCACATCTGATTTACCAGCACTTACCCTAAGGATGCAACAGCCGGACTCATGCTCTGCCCGCCCTCGGCTGCACTGCTGTGAAGCTATATTTTAAAGAAAAGCTTCAAAATAAGGAATAAGAACAACCCCGAGGCTGCCACAGCAGGAGGTGAAGCCCAGCGAGCAGCACGTGTTATTTTCCTGCATGTTTTCACCCCGGAGATGGAAGCAGCCGGCTCCTGCCGCGGGGTTTGCCTGGCGCTCAGCACCACGCAGGGACGCAGCCTCCCGCGAGCCCGGCTGACAGAGCCCACCACCTCCTACTGCACCCCAGAGAGCAGCACCCAAGCCAAAAAAAAAGGAGAAAATCAAAAAAAAAAGAGGCGGCCGGAGCCGGCTCGGGGTGTAAACTGGCACGGGTCCACCGCCTTCGCAGCTCCGGCCCAAACAGATTTTTCCTTTAGCGAGACGAGTGACGGGATGGGTTTAAGTAGGGGAAAAATTAAGCTGCACATCAGGTGGAACTTCCTGGCCGCGAGATTTATGAGGCGGGGAGTGATCTCATCAGGGAAGCGGAGGAAACTCCGTCGCGCTGGAATTATTTAAAGCCCTGCGAAGCCCAGGGGGGAACCAGGCGCGGGGAACGGTCCCAGCGGCTGCCACGTGATGGGCAGGGGAGCGCGCCGGTCATCCCCGCTTCCTGGCCCTGGGACGAGACAGTCCGCGGGGTTTTTGTTGTTGTTTTTTATTTTTCCTTCTGGTATCAATAAGGAAAGGCTCGTGCACCAGCCTCGGCTCTGTAGCTGGATGCGTTTCTCACCCAGGTCGGCGTGAAAATGGCTTTAGCGAGCGCCGCGCCCCGCAGCAGGGGGACCAGAAGGGGACAACCGGTGGCACCATGGGGGGGACCCGCTGCAGCCTGGTCCTGGGGAGCAAGGAGGGCTCCTGAGGGGGGCTGCTGGCTGCAGGTGAGGACAACCAGGGGGGGAGCAGCCCCTCCTGAGCCTTCGCAGAGCTCTGCACCCTGCACACCGCCGGCGGGAAGCCACGCGGCTCGGCGCAGCGGCGCTTTTGCACGCAGCGGCACTCAAAGCGCTCTCGCTCACAGGGCTTTGAGAGCAGTGCTTTCCTCTGAAGGGCTACAGGAAAAAAAAAAAAATTACCCTCCCCTGCAGGTCTAAATCCTCCAGGGGAAAACATAAGCCCTGCAACCGTAATATTTTCCAAGACCCCCTTCCATGCCCTTCCTTTCTTCTCCTTTATCACAAGCCCAGGAGATAGCGATATCGAAGCATGTTAACAAGATATAGGGGAAACAGGAGGAGAGAGGAACTTTGAAGAACGTGTATTTACTCTTTCTTTACTTTTTTTCTGCACCAGAAATAATTTTTAAACACGCCTCCTCCTTTGCAGAATGCTTGCTGGTGGAGGGAGCAGCAGCAAACCTGGCCCGCAGCACCGAGCCCGCACACGAGGCACCTGCAGGGCTGGCAGGATCAGGACCCACGGCCCCACCACCAGCGTCCCACAGGGCAGAGGACCCTGCTGAGGTCCTCAGCACCTCTCCCAGACCCAGGACCCCTTAAATCCCCGTGCCTCTCCCTCCCCATCGATACAGTCTGCTCAGCCGCCACCTCTCACAAGGCGATCGATCCGGAGCGAACAATCAATTATGGGAAAGAACTTAAAGAAAAAGGGGGGGAAAAGGCAAATGAAGGAACCCTTCCCGTAAGGGGAGCAGAGCCAGGAGGCGAAGGCCGAGGCCAACTCACCCGGCACCGCGCGGCGAGCGCCGTCGCCCTCCTTTCCTTCGCAGCCTCTCCGCACCCAGGCGCGGCCCTGGGGCTTATCGAGGGGCCCGATCTCGGTGCACGTTTTGTGCAATTTCACTCACTCAGCATTTCCAGGCAGAGCACGGGGCACGTTTGACTCGACTTGTTCATAAACAATACTTTCCTATCGCTCGGTGGAGGGGCGAGGACGTTTGACCCTTTTCCTCTCCGGCTCTTACCCCCAAGGCGCTCGGCTCACCCCGCACCAGAGCTGCGTGCCCGGGCGCTTTAGGACCAAGGGTCCCCGGGCATGGCACGGAGCACGATGCACCCCCCCCCTCTCCAACCCTTGCTGACCTTCTCGTGCCATTTTACACCTTCCATCCATGTCATTTTTTCCAGCTGCCCCCAGGTTTGGAGGGGAATTCCCTCGGGTAGGAGGGGGTCTGGTTGCCCCCATGCTTCCCACATGAGCCAGGCTCACACGTGAGTACCCGAAGGAGCTCGGGGGCTCCTCAAAGGTGGCACCGAAGACAAAACCCCCACGTTCGCACGCTTCTGCCTGCTCCCCAAAACCCAGCAGCCTGCAGCGAGCCGGAAACCTTCGGTTTCACCTTCTGTGGCTTTGTAACTGCAGCAAACGGGTCCCTGAGCCCGAGCCGTGCTGGCTCCCTTGGCCACCGAGGCCACCTCGCCCTCCCCAGCTGCTGCCCGGGCTCGGGGCAGGGGCTGCCACCACCTCCCAGCTGCTGGGGCTGTTTTGACATTTAGACAACAGATTTTTCCCGGCGTGACAGGAGCCGTCGGTGCCATGGCCAGGCTGTGCCCAGAGACCCCCCCAAACCATCGCACCCTCGCTGTCGGCGACCCAAGCCCCGACCCCGCCGTGGTTCGGAGCTCAGCAGTCACGGCTGGCCGGGTCAGGATGAAGACCCCCGAGGAAAATGCTTTCAGCCCGGCTTTTCTCCCTTATTAGCAGCAGCCAGGGTCGCTTGGATGCTGTTCCTCTGATTTACGGGGTGGATTCAGACCCCCGTGGTAAGGACTCGGTGGGGAGCTCGTCCCCACGCTGCTCCGGGTGCCTCCAGCAGCAGCAACAGGGCTCACGACACGGGGGCTCAGTGCAAGAGAGAAATCAGAAGGGCTGGTTTGTGCCCCAAAAACGCTGTTACCATTGCTTCAGCTCGCCCCTGTCCTGCTGAAACTGCTGGGGTCCTCTGCAGAGGGGCCGTGCGGCATCCCCCGTGCCCAGGGAGCTCACCCCGAGCACGGCGCTGGGGAAGAGAAGGGGACAGCTCGTGGGGCAGACCTGGCAGAGCACTGGGGCTGTCCCCAGCCTGGGGCCAGGCAGCACCTTGCAGGGCTTGCAAAGTGCCATCAAGATGGGCAGGGAAGCCCGGAGGGATGGGGACGCGGATGAGGATTTTGGAAGGTTTTCTGGCATGGGTTAAACCATCCCCAAAATTAACACCGGGGCAGCTCCCGGTCCCAGCTCATCGCTTCTGAGCCTGCAGAGCTCCACAACCAGCAGGGAGACGAGCGAGCTGCCGGGGTGGTGGTGGGGAGGCACCGGCTAAAGGGCTCCAGCAGCCACCACCCCACAAACCGAGACCACCCCACCCAGCCGGGTTCACACCTCACCCCTCCAACGGGAGGAGATAAAGCCCACGAAATCCTGGTCACGGCAGAGAGATTTGGGGACGAGCCCTCCCTGCCCCGCCAGGATTATTTTCAGCACACAACAACAACAAAAAAAAAATGCGGCGAAGGGGAGAGCAGAGACTCTGCAGCCAGCAGCAGGCGGCTCTGCCCGGTGGCGAGGGGGTGTCCGATTGCCCCCAGCCACCCCCGTGTCCCGCAGCCCACAAGGGGCTCTTTGTGGCCGTGCAGCCCCGCTGGCACCTGTCCCCCCGTGCCTTGCTGTGTCCCCAATTCCCCTCGAGTCCCCCAGCCTGCAAGGGGTTTTTTGGCAGCCCCTGGCTCCACGTGCCTCAGTCCCGGCTGGCTCCTGCACGGCTTAGCGGGGCTGGGAGCCCACATTTGCTCCGTGCACACACACACACACGTTGTTTTTTTTTGCAGGGGGTGCAGCTCAGGCAGCAAAAAGAGGCTGAGCGTGGTGTGGGGAGGGGGTTTTTAGCGCTGCCAGCTGGAGCTGAGAGTGCTGCCGCTGGGCATGGGAAGGCCAAATATTGCAGGGATTGCAGCCAGACACCCAAATCGCAGCCCAGGAGCCTCGGAGAGAGGCGCAAACACTGCCCTGCTGCAGCCCACGCAGCTACGGCTGAGTCCCCTGGGGGCCACCCTCACGCCACCCCTCCAGCTCCGGGCATCCCTTCCCCAGAGCCCGGAGAGAAAACTGAGCAGGAAAACTCCTTCAGCAACTGGGGAATTCACCTGCCGAGCCCGTGGGGATGGCGATGTCCATGGCCAGTGTCCGTGTCCGTGTCCGTGTCTGTGCCAGCAAAACCCCCCACGCCGAGCAGCCCCACAGGCAGCTCCTGTGCAGCCCCTGCCCCAGGGGACTGGCTTTCCGGCTGGGCGTGCAAGGTAGAACAATAGGGCCGAGCCCTCTATTGTTCCAGACAAAAGATAAGCCGGGCTCTGGCATTCCCCGACCAGTTCCCCGACGGGCGGGCAGGCGGCTGCCGCCCTGGGCCAGGGCAGGGCCTCGCTAAATTCCCTAAACCCGGCTCCAGCAGCTCCTGGCAGGTGGAGAGGGGCTGCAGGAGGTGGCTCCCCCCTGCCCAGCTCACACCGGACCCGCTCCATCCCCTAGCCACCAGCTCCATCCCATAGCCACTGTCACCGTCACCCTGCCCTGTGGGATTTGTCCCAGCCCTGCCCCGTCCCCAATTTCTGGAGACCTCAGGATGCTGGGGACGAGCTGTGCGCCCAGATGTTTTTCAGCCCATGGTCCTGTCCTGTCCTCTCCTGTCCTGTCCTCTCCTGTCCCCTTTTCTCTCCTCTCCGCACTTTTTCTTCTCTCCATCCCCATGCAGCCCAGCATTAAGGACCAGTGCTGCCACCCCTGCTGCTCTCATGCTCACCCCGCAGGGGACAGCGGGGACAAAGCCCCCTGCCAGCCGTGGGACAACGCCAGGAGGGACAGGGGGTGCCCAGGACCGGGGACGTGTCTCTGGCACAGCAGGGGCTGAGCGTGGAGCCCAGCAGCAGCCCGGGCTCTGCGTGCCCACTGCAACCCAGCGCACCGCCACCACCTACCTCTGCTTTATTTTCTGGTTTTTTTTCTGCTTTTTCTGCTTTTTTCTGCTGTTTCCCTGAACGAGGCCAGATTTTGGCCGGGACCACTGAGTGCGCACGGGGCTGCCCTAATGATGAGCCCCTTATCTCGTTTTTTCTCTGATAAGGCAACCGGGGGGGGGGAGGCTGCCCAGGCTCTGCAGCCACCAGGCTGCATCTTTTATAACGGTCACATGCCTGCAGCGGGCCTGGCTGGTAATGGAGCATTAAATTATGGCGAGGCAGAATTTCAAACATTTCGGAGCCATCTCCCGGGCGGCATTCTTCAGGGGAAGGGCCGCAAAGGGAGCGGGACGAGGCGGTGGGGTGGGTAGCGTAAAACCCGCAGCAGCGGCTTTCTCCCTCAAAACCGACACATTTTTAGCTAAAAGCGGCTGCAAACCTGTCCCGGGTGCAAGGTGCTGGTGCGGGGCTTGGAGGCGAAGGGGACAGGGCAGTTTTGGCAGCGTCCCCGTGCCCTGCTCCCCTCCAAGCGTGTGCTTGGGCCGACTCGCACAAAAGCCTTGTGGAAGCCAGGTCAAGCCGCTGCCTCCCCTGCTCATTTTTTTTTTTTTTTTTACTGCCCTTTCCGAGCAGCTGGGGCATCTCCGACGCCAGCCAGAGGTGCCCCCTGCACCTCCCCAGCCTCTCCTCTCCCCCACCGGTGCCAAACTGGTGGGACTGGGCAGACCAAAGGCCCTTGTTTCGGGGCTGGAGAGCTTCCAGCTTGGGACATATGGTCCTGGAGCAGGTGGGGACTGGCGCGGCGGAGTGGGAGGGAGGCAGGGAGGGCTTCCAAGCCGCGGAAAATATTCCCAAAGTCGATGCCTTTGGCCCCGCCAACTTTCCTCCTGCTGGAGGCAGCAGCGCTGGACTGAACCCACGCGTTTCTCGCGCCGAGGAGCTCTGGGGGTATGGGGCACGGCCAGATTTGGCTCCTGAAGACAGTCTCCAAAAGGCGCAGGACGGGGTAAAGGCACCGAGATTTTCCCCAGCAGGACTGTCACAAGCCGCCCTAATTTATTTCCCTTTCGTCTGTTTTTTACTGGGCTAAAACTGGGTGGAAACTGGGGATGCATCACGTAAAACTTTTTAAGCATCCCAAGTCTTCCTCCCTGCAGCACAATGAAACCCAAACCTCCAAAGCTGGTGAAAAATAAACAAGCAGAGCTCGGGACAGCCCGGCGCTGCCTCCACGGACCCCCAAGCAGGGACCGCCCGACCCTAGGGCCACCACGTCTCCGGCGAGCACAAGTCCCCCGCCAGCCCCTCGGCCAGCCCCAGCTGCTGTCAGACGCACAAAACCGGGCAGCTTCGGCCCGTGGGTGTTTTCTAGCAGAGGGAAAACGAAACAAACAGCTTTCATCAATAGTTCGCAGCTTGTAGCGATGCTACGCTCAGCAGCACGGCCGCACCAGAGGAGAACAAAAGAGGCCAGCGGGCTTCCTCCACGGCGTTGTCCAGAGCTGTAGGGAGCAACTGCCCTACCCGTGAGTGGATTTTTGTTGTTGTTTTTTTTTTTCCCAATTATTATTATTATTTTTAAAAAAGGAAAAATAAACACG